TATTTATTGCCTTCCGGATTTTGCTGCTTTCGCTGCATTCAGTATTATTGCATCTGAGACTCTAACAGTCCCACGCTGACAGGCAATCTCGGGGAGTTTCAGCTCCATTCCCAGCGCACAACCCGGTGCTCCTGAGAACTTTCTTTTACTTCCCACCAGTGTTATCTCATTTCTCTTTATTGCTATAAACACCAGCCCTGGAGGGACCTGGACCACAACAGTGAAATATTCTCCACCAGACTGGTCAGATAAGCAGAAGCATCGATTCTCAAAGCCTACCCAGGGAAGGCATGTCTTGTGAGGAAGGGTTCTCCCATCCTCCTGCCCTGGGGACGAGCCTGGAGAAACAGGCACTAAATTACGTGTACTGGTCCTGATCAGCCCATTTGCTAATATTGTCCCCAAAACACAACACATCAGAAGAGGACAAATTGCCATGCCACAGCCAGCCCTGCTGTTTAATAAGAAAGACATTTTGTAAGCTCGGAGAAAAAAAAATACATAAAATACAGATCTCTGGGCAGGAGAGGCCTGTGAGACGGAGGCAGGAGCTCTCACATCCCCGGAGGAGCTCAGGCTGGCTCCATCCTCAGTAAGAGCTATTTCAAAACAAGTATTTCTTCCAGGATGTCACATGGAAGGAGACTGTCAGAAAGCTGTCTAAATGTGTTAACAACACTGTCAGCGGGGGAGAGAAAAGTGTTATCAGAAATAGTTGTTCTTCAAAGCTAAGTAACTCAGTGATTTCATAAGGAGTAAAAGATAAGAGATCACACCACACACTGAGGGCTGTTGGAATTTTCTTTCCGAGAATGAAGCTGTTTGTTTTGTTAAAAAGGGGAAGGGGGGAGAAAGTGAAAACCTAAAATACTTCGACTTTCTTGACTTAGCTTTCAAAAAATCTAAAAATAGCTTTGATTGCGCTCAGCCTGCGCAGGCGCCGCGCAGGATGGGCGAGAGCACTGGAACAGGATCCCCATCCCACTGACCAGGCTGCTCCCCCGCTCCCTCCCGGGGCCATTCCAAAGGTTTTCCAGCCTCACCGCTGGCGATGGGAGGAACGCGGCCTGTCTTTGCTTGATGCAGACAGACCTGGGCCTGTTCTGGTCGGCATCGGGGGGATTTGGGGTGTTCCATGGGGTCCAGACTTTGCCCCGGACAGAGAGGCTCGTTTGCTGCTGCTCAGAGTGAGATCCTCCGTGTTTTGCAGCTAAGCCGCCCCTCGCCTGCAGCACCAGCCTCCTTCCCGTGGCCTGGCCCTACTCTTGCTCTTCTAGTCTAGATCTAAAGCAGAGTTTCAGGTGTTTGCTTTGGATTCTTATTTTGAATCTTCAAAATTCCCCACCTCAGCAGCAGTGTCAGTGGTCATCAAATAAAATAACATAAAGTAACAAGACGTGAAGTTGATTCCAATTAGCATGTTTTCTCATATGCTGATTGACATTCTCTGGAGAGCAATTAGCCTGCTTTAAAGGTAAAAGACAACTGAATAATTATTTAACCTGCCTGGTGATTGATATTTACAATCCAAGAAGTCAGATGTAATAATGGACGACTCCATCAAAAATATGCAAAAGTAAGGGAAAATGGTTGATAGCGTTTGGTCCTGTCCTACTGAGGAGATACTGACAGTTTGTGTTGAGGCATCTCTACAAGGCTGACACCCAGACCCGGACCCCGTTGCACCAAAGGCCATACAACCCTGGCACAAAAAGGTATTCAGGGGAAAACATATATGCAAAGAAACTCAACCCGAAGTTGATAAACCTCAGAGTGTGTTGCACAACACATAGCATTGCGCAGGGAGCCTGTGGGCTGCACTGACTGGTCAAGGGAACAGCGTGGTCCTTCCTGGGATAGATCAGGCAGCAAATACTCTGATGAACCTCAGGAGAACGTTACGAAGTGTGACAGACCTCAGCACGGCTGACTTTTATCTGTCTGCAAAGCTACAGGAGTTAAAGGAAGAAGGAGGGGGAAGCTGGGACCTGAGCAGACAGAGGCAATACTGGGAAAACATCGTTAGCACAGGGTCAAATGAGCAGCATCCATTAATCTCCGGGACATTTGAAATAACTTCAAAAATAGGGTGGAGGCAGAAATGGTTTAGAGAGAGACAGCAACACTAAAGGGCCTTTAGTTTTACTATCTCAGGTGAAACTTTTTTATAGGTAGTATATAAAAGTGGAAACTGTTTTGTTGTTGACTTTTTATAGCCCATTGACTTTCTATACTTTAATAAGAGTAGAGTCACAGTGAGGTTACTGTCGCAAGACCCGCACATCATCCCTCTCTCGGGGAGCACAGGGAGAGCTGACCAAGTCCATTCCTCCGAACACTTTGCAGCAGCCCAGTTTTGCACTGCTTCATCTTCCCTGTTGAGGGCTGCAGGGGATGCAGGAGTCCCCCCCGCCCAGTGACGAGCCAGCTGATGTCACATCCCTCATTCTTGCCATAGCACAAGCTGATATTCTCCATTTTGCTCAAATGGAAAAGCTGCAACAATTATTTTCATAATTAGCTGGCTTTTCAAATTAACGCCGGCTATGCTATGTAATCATGATGAAGATTACGCATTAATCAGCTGTTTCAAGCCAGTTATTAGGCTCTTTAAATAATGATCAGGATGAACATCTCTAGAGGAGAGGCGTGCAAGCCAAGAGGGACGGGGCTGTGCTCAGCACGCCCGGCTGCCGTGCCGACCCGCCGACAGGCGCTCCCCGGCCCCCGAGCTTCTGGGGATCGAGCGGGCTGTTGCACGCGGTGGCTGCTCTTCAACACCTTGGCAACCGCAGCAGGTATCACATTGTCCCAGTATATTCAGCGTCCAGCAGTATAACCAGAAATATATTACTTCTGCCTGTCTGCTTTCTCATTGCCTGGCACTAAATTCAAGGTATTGGGTGGCTGCACAGAAAATTCTTTTCTGTCAAAAAGCCTATTATATCCAGCTGGATGTCTGGAACGTGAATTTATTTGGGATCAAACACCAATAATCCACATACCCAGTCCTTCTCTATTCTATCGTGGTAAGACATGCTCCAAAGCAGCCCTAAAAGCTCTGGGCTAGGAGAAAGCCTAATGTCAGCTAGTTGATAATCAATGTAACATGAACACGGTTATCACTTCAGGATGATGCTAGAAAATAAAAAATCCCTTGCTAAAATGTTCTGGGCAGTAAAGCTTTGAACAGAAAGACAGGGATGAATCTCACACTCACTTGAGTTTTGCTTATTGTTTCTGCTATAATATTGTGTATGAACTTTCTCTGCCCTAAGAAGCTTAGATCGAGCTACCAGCATGTGCAAGCTTTGATATGGATGAATAATTTTCCTTCCACCGGTCAATAACCAAATGTTTTGGCGTGATCCTGTGGGAATGAGACACTTGGACAGTTTTGCTAGTCTCCTGCTTACACTGCGGGGCATTCCAGATTGAAAACCTGGTCATAAGTAACTTGCTGAGGATCACGTGGGACTGAAATGGTTCCCCAGAATGAGCATTCAGCCTCTTTTTCTTTATTCTTCCCCATATTACCAGAGTCAGTACTGAGATCAGTAATATTTTTTTTTCTATCGGAGACATGCAGTGAACAGCTCTAATGTTTTTGGATGTTTATGCATGCAAATTAATTACCACACTCACTTTACAGCTGGGGGCACGGATGCGCAAAGTCTGCAGGGGAAGAGGAGGGAAGTGACTGGCCGGGGCCGCGGGGAGCAGAGCCGTGCGAGGCCCCCGCGCCCGCCTCGGCACCCTCGCTGCGGGACCCTCCGCGCATCGCCGCTGGGGCCGGCTCAGCCCACGGCGCTGGTCGGGTTCCCGGGAGGGCGCACGGAGCAAGGCCGTCGACAGAAACGTCAGATCCGCTCTTGCCAAACACCAAGGTGCCACAAAAACTATAGAGAATGCGTTCTGGCTCCTGGAGGAGGATTCGTGCAGTTGCTTGAAAGCTAGGAGGGCTGAGTAGACATCCGTTGTATATAGCAAAACATTTTAGGACTACCTTAAATTGAAGAGGAAGATTTTCCTTCTGCTAATGAACCCAGAGACCATCTGGTACCAATTGCACTTGCTTATCTCGTTCGTCCATTAATTATTTTGGTTTACTTTTTAATAAGATCGAGCAAGGTTTATGTGTCTTTCCATGGTTCTGTAAGGGGCACAGGATGGTGCCTACATCTCAGAGACAAGGACGTGCAATTACATAATTTACGCCTGCACTGAGTCACTTCAATTAGAGTGGCTGTCAGTGGGGAACTGAGGACAAGACTCACAGATACAGAGCCAAGAAACCGAGCGATACCGTGACATGAGCTTGTTGCCCTTGGGGAGGTGTAATGGCATTAACCACTTCTGAACATGGGAAAGCATGCATTCAAGATGCGCATTACTGAGCAGATAAGCTGTAGGGTAGGCAAATTCAGAAGTCTCTGCTGGTCTGAATTAAGAACTTGGATAACTAAACATGAAGAACAATATAAGATGACAAGGGCACTGAGAATGGCACTAAAAATAGCAAGCAGCAGTGCTGCACTGCCTGCCTCCTGCGTGAGGACTTGGAGGTGGGTGGACAGGGAGGGGAGGGTCCAGCGTGGCACGGAGGGAACGGCAGTGCCGGCTTCAGACCACCGGACCTCCTCGGAGCACAAGCCTGGAGCATCTCTGCAGCTGAGCAATAAGGCAGTCCACACTTCCCAATGTCTGGGCCGAAAGTTTTACGGGAAGCCACTCATCTGTTTCATAAAAATATTCCAAGATTTTAAATTTGTCCCCTATTACCCTGCAAAGCTAGCATTCTGAACACTTTCATGGACCACCATATAGCAAAAAAACCCAGATGTCTTAATGTCTTTATTTCAGTCGAGGAAATGTCCTGGACAACGCCTTGTTCAGCCTGCAAATGTCACAGCTCTGTCCAAGAGTCTCCTGATCCTTCCTACATAAGATTATGAATCAAACTTTATGTGGCTTAATGCTGGTTTTGTCTTGTCTTGCAGGAGGAATCTTTGAGTATGCAGATGGCCCCAACACCCAGGTTATGAGTGCTGAGGAGCAAGCCTTCAGATTTTCTGCCAATATTATTAATAGAAACAGAACTTTGTTGCCTAACACAACACTAACCTATGACATTCAGAGGATACACTTCCACGACAGCTTTGAAGCAACTAAGAAAGGTAAGAGCACAGCACACTTAGCAGTTTTGAGGCCATTTATTCAGAAAAAAAAGGCACAGTTTCACTTGAGACCCAGCAGCTCATTTTGTCCTGCTCTAGTCAGTGACTGAGATGAGAAGTCCTCCAGGAGCTGACCTTCTGGAGGCATTTTAATATAAGGGGAACAACTATTCCATTTTCCCTCTGCAAACCTCACAAAACTCCTTTCAGTGTTTGCTTCTAATACCGAGCGAAGGTCTGTAGGCCGTGCCTTTGTTTATTTTACCGTATCCCTGGCAGTTGTAACATCCATAGCGCAGACATGCTGTTCTCTTCCTAACAGTCATTTTTCAGTATCAGGTAACAGCAGCCCCCTTGAATTCCTGAAGGGGAGGGAAGAAATGGGACTAGGCGGCAAAGGCTGTGGAGCTGATGGCCTGAGGGCTTGCTGAGTTTGCTTCTGTCTGGGGAGAAATGAAACCTGCTGCCCGAGCTCGCAGCCTAAGAGGGGCAGCTCCGCGAGCGGGGCTGGCGGCTCACAGGCGACTTCGCTCAGCCCCGCTGACCCTTTTTACGCTGGTTTTGGTGCGGAGGGTTCCCCGGAGCTCTGCCCGGCACCGCCGGGAGCACCCGGCGCGGCTGAGCCGGGCGCGGGGGCAAGGGCAGGAGCAGGAGCAGCGCAGGCAGGACCCGCGGCAGGGCCACGCGTGGCCGTGGGCACCCGGCTCCTCGGCTGCGTCCCTGCCCCTTGCGCTGGGACCAGTTGCTTCCCTAAAACCTTTTAATGAAACGCAGCCGCCACAGAGCTCCTGCCGACAGTGCTAAGCCCCCGCACCCTGCAGGGGCAGGTCAGAGCTAATCCATTCCTGTTCCTCTGAGAAACTTTTAATTTATTCCCCGCCCCCCCCCCCAAAAAAAAAAAAATGCAGCCCCCCCAAATGCAGCTCTTCTGTTTTAATTTCTCAGTGAAAGCTTGAACAAAGCTATGAAAGGCATCATTTTGCAGGAGAAATAGTTCTGTTACAATCGATGGAAAAACACATTTGTCAGGGCGATTCTGATCATCTCTGGGTGTTTCTTTCACAACTCCGGAGGCTCAGCCATTTCTAACACACTGGAGCCGTTGTTCCCCCTCTGGAAACGTCCTTGTGCCTCTAAGCACCGGTCCAGACCCTCGCCTGCCAGAATTCCTCCTCCTCCTCTGCCTCTCACTGTAATTACCTGATATTTATACTGCCGTTAGTGCCCAGAAGCTTCTCTGTCCATGCCCTGCTCCACGGCCCAGGTCAGGAAGAAGCCGTTTGCGTCCCCACGGCTGCCCCAGCGCTCCCCCCTCCCGCAGAGGTGCCCTGTTCGCTCCTGACAGCATCCTTCCCTTTTCCAGCCTGTGACCAGCTCGCTCTGGGGGTCGTAGCAATATTCGGACCTTCCCAAGGCTCCTGCACCAACGCCGTCCAGTCCATTTGCAACGCCCTGGAAGTCCCTCACATACAGCTTCGATGGAAGCATCACCCTTTGGATAACAAGGACACTTTCTACGTCAACCTGTATCCCGACTATGCTTCCCTTAGCCATGCCATTCTGGACCTTGTGCAGTATTTGAAATGGAGGTCAGCCACTGTGGTTTACGATGACAGCACAGGTAGGTAAAGGAGGGGCTTTAAAGGAGGGATCCAGGAGACTTTTTTGTTGTGGGTCCCATTTAGGAACTTTCTAACGAACCCTTTCAGGAGCAAAATGACACCCCCACGCAATAATCAGTGCACGGGGCCACAGGTTCCCAAGCATTCAGGCGAGCATTGTAGGAGGCCCTGGGATCCTTTCTGAAGCATTTAATTCCCAAAGCGCTTAGAAAATGGGTAACCCTCAGCACCGCCCCAGCTGACAGAGGGTCAAGGGGAGGATTAATTGTCCGCCGGTGTGATCTGGCTCAGCGCGGCTGTATTTGGCACCGCGGTGCCCATCTACGCAAGCAGAGACCTTGGTCTGCGGCTGGCACTGAGGGTGCAGTTTCCCAGCTAAAAGCAAAAGCAGTTCCGGAAAGTTTTTTGTTTTCTGGCTAATTCTGTGAAGCACAGCTGACAAAGTTTTTGCTTTGCAACAGCTAAAGAAAGCTGTTGATGATTAAACAAAACAAAGCACTGCACAGCACTATAGATAAAAAAACCCCCCAAACAAAAGACACATTGGATAGCCTGTCCAACCTAATTCCACTAAACCAAATGGTTTCTTTAAGGGAGGGCTGATGAGAACACAATTTGACATTCCTGTTTTGCAAATGTGGGTCACAGTATGTTCCCTTCGTGGCATACTCTAATGTATTTCTTCTACTATGCAGAGGGTTATGCTTTTCTTTTTCTCCTTGCAATAGGCATCTGCTGAATTTCTTCTTGCAACATTAGATACCAATAATTCCTGCTCAGCTGCACCCAGCATGGCTTTGTACCTTCTGCAAAAAAAAGAAATTAATTCTAAGGGTAGTAAGAAAGTTACAAGTTGCGATTAAGTGACTGTTATGAACTATGATATTCATAAATCTAAGCGCATATTAATTTTTGTCTTTTGCTGTTATGCATTGTAAATACTGCAGATTTTAATTTGTTGTATAGCTGATTATCACATTCTGTCCTTTCTCAAGGGCACATTTGCTTAAGAAAATACGTTGTGACCCCAGAGATGTCAAAGGTTAGGACCAATCTGCTATTCTCCTCGTCCTACCTAGTGCCGGGGCCTCAGCAATACCATGTCTGGGTACAGGGGCAGCAGGGAAACAGCAGGAAAAGCCAGTCTGCCTTAGAACATCTGTCCTGGAAATATCTGGGGGTTTAATGGTTGATACATGACTCCTTGGCTTTGATACGCCTTTAGCAACGGCCATTTGGGGGAGGGAGGAAAGTCCTGATTGCAACCATTAAATAATATAGGAAGAAATAACTTGCTGTGATACCCAGCCTGCAGGGCAGAGGCAGACTTTCCTGTAACTCTGTGGGTTTGTCTCTGTGCAATGCCTGAAGGCCTTATACGGCTGCAAGAGCTCATCATGGCCCCGTCGAGGTACAATATCCGGCTGAAAATCCGCCAGCTCCCGCTGGACACCGACGATGCCCGGCCGCTGCTGAAGGAGATGAAGCGGGGCAGGGAATTCCGCATCATCTTCGACTGCAGCCACTTGATGGCAGCTCAGATCCTCAAGCAGGTGAGCGGGGGGCGATGGGGACCCGGGCGCACGGGGTGGCCCTGCGGACAGGGGGGCAGCCCCACGGACAGACAGGGGGGCAGCCCCACGGACAGACAGGGGGGCAGCCCCACGGACAGACGGGGGGCAGCCCTGCGGACAGACAGGGGGGCAGCCCCGCAGACAGACAGGGGGGCAGCCCCACGGACAGACGGGGGGCAGCCCCACGGACAGACAGGGGGGCAGCCCCACGGACAGACGGGGGGGCAGCCCCGCGGACAGATGGGGGGAAGCCCCGCGGACAGGGGGGTAGCCCTGCGGACAGACAGGGGGGCAGCCCCACGGACAGACAGGGGGGCAGCCCCGCGGACAGACGGGGGGCAGCCCCGCGGCCTGCCCTCTGGCCCCACGAGCCACAGCCACGCTAAAAGCTGCCACCTGTCCGTTCTCCGAGGACACCACCGGATTTCTGCCGAACACGTAGTTTTCACTGAAACGCTGGACGCACCAAAAAGCGACTGTTGGTTCAAACGGCGCGTTGGGGGAGGCAGCGCCGAGCGCGGGCTGGGGGGCGGCAGGCAGGGTCTGCCCCGGGCCACGGCTCTGCCCGCTCGGTTCGCCCTCGCCAGCGCCAAAGCCCTCCGGTCCCCTCGGCGCTGCATCGCACCCCGGGTTTGCAGAGGGGCGCGGGCGGGGGGCAGGGTGTAAGCCGCTCGGTTTTGGTGGGCTCCCTCCGGCGCTGCGCTCGCAGCCCCCCGGCACGCAGCCAGCCCTGGGCCGTCCCTTCCCGGGCCCTGTGTGCAGTTCGTGGACTTTAAGCCAGATGTCAGTGATTTTCCATTTATTTGGTCTCTCTCCTTTCTCCCCGAGTTCCTCCACTGGCGTTTTTCACAGGCCATAAGGTTTGCTGCTCAGCCCAGCTCCTCCTCGTTTCCAAATGCCTTTAGGTTTCAGGGTCACTATGAGGCAAACGCTCTCACAAAGAAGGCGAAAAACCAGCCGGTGGAAGCGTTGCTTATATCAGCCCAGCAAGACACTATCACATAGATTAAATAGATCCCCCGAAGGGCTAAGAAAGCCAGCACATGGAAAGAGACTTCTCTTGCAGCCTGCTTGATGCAAAATGAAGGGAAGTGCTCAGAGAAATCAGAAAGCCTGGGAGGGATTATTAAAGAAAGCAATATAAGGGACTCATTGTCTCCTGCCTATTATTTTAACATGCTGGCTGTGTTTGGTGCTGTTCACTTATTATGCAGTTTATTATAGTTTATTGTGCCATCTGCTCTGCTCATCACTGTGAGTGCAGAGTGAGGAAGATGGAGGAGAGGGGGGACTAGGGGGAAAGAAGTCTTTCTAAATCCTTCTGGCTGGTTTTGTTTGTGTGTTGTTGTTTTTCAGGACCCAAAGCCATGGATTTCAGCTTAGCAATATTATATAGCGTATTTTTACTCAGGAAAAAGCTGTTCAATATTTTCAGAGTTTGGGAAGGCGCAGAAACCCAAACCACATCCTGGCTGGCCTCTGCACAGCCGTACGCCCTGGTGTCCCTGAGCAGTGCAACCGTGACCCTCGTGTCTCTCCCACTGCTGGCAGTTGCATTTGCTGAAGAATTAGGAAGCTCAGAAACTTCATCTTTTCCAACTTTTCTGCCCATACCAAGAAATGCACATCTAGGGGTGCCACCTTCACTTGTGAAACAGCTCTCTTCTTTTCCACAGGATGGGTTAGAAAAACAGGCTTCCTGACCCCTACTCCACGCTGCGCTCCTCACACTCTGCTTTGCACATTCACCAAAAGTACGAGCTGGGTAAAGCCAAAACCATCTCCTGGAAGAGGGGAGTCTGATTTTGCTTTTCAGTGTTAGAAAAACAACCCACAGAAAAAAAAACTCTGGAGTGCAAAAAAAGTCAGGGAAGAATGGCCCAGCCTTCTGTTTGTCCTGGAAACAATACCGTTCATATTTTATTGCTATTATTTGCCTTTTGTAGCATTTTGGTAACTACAGCAGTTAGCTGTGCAGACGTTTGCCCTCCGGTGTTTGCTCCCACCAGGCACAGTCCCCGGTGCCTCTCGGCTGTGCTGCCCACCCTGGTGCTGCACTGACGGATGGCAAAAAGGTTCTCTCAAGACTTGTGCTAAAATTTCCGCCTCTCGGTAGTGACTTCAGCTGCGCATCTTTAGGTAACACAGAATGGTCCGAGCAACTCCAGCCTACGTTCACTAAGGTGGCCCTGACTAAACACACACCGTCATGCCGGTCCAGATCTCGCTCCCAAGTTACCTCAGGTAACACGCTCCCACGGCACACGGGTAGCAAGGCACTTCACTGACAATCTGGGCAGTATTTTTAAGCAGGAGTAATAAAAGAGCCCCCACGGTTTAGTAATCCATGAATAACAACACAAGAGCTGGCACAGAGACCTACAGATGACGTTGCCGCATGCTGCTCTAGTCTGGGTTCATCGGAGTGTCTGAGACATCAAGCCATTCGTTATTTTACCCTCTTGGACAAACAAGCCATTGTAGGAACCTACCAGAGAGCTAGACCTGCTCACGAGGTCTTCCCACCCTACCCCAGCTTCTCTGGCCTTGCTCATTTTTGGTCACTTGTTAATGCTTCACATCTGTTCTCTGGCTTCCCAGCTCCCCCGTTCTCCTTGGCAGCTGTCTCCGAACAGTTGCTGCACTCTGCAGTGCACAGATGTGCCCGTCTTGGCTTTAACGGAGCTCCCATTCTCACCACGGCGATCGCCTGTAGCTTACCCACCAGGTTTATCACTTATTCATTTCCCCGCAAACCCAGATGTACCCTGCACACAGGCTGCCTGTACTGGGAAGCTGGAGCTCGCTTCTTACAGCAGGTCCAGGCTCTTCATCTACCACTGAAATGACCCAGCTGTCGAATCTGACCTGGAACCTCACGATTTTACTCCCAGCTGGTTTCGCACCAGCCGACTGACGCCCCACGCCGTGCGGTCCCTCTCCCTGCCCCTGCCCTGTGCACCCGGGTGTGCGGGTCAGGAGTGGGCTGGGCGGCAGCCCTGCAGAGCCTCCCCCGGGCAGGGAGGAGGGGGACGGGATGGCGCTGCCAGGCTTCCGAAAGGTATTTCCAGGCCAGGAAACGTGGGGAAAAATCACACTCTAGACTAGTTACAACATCTAGGCTTGCAATCTCGATCCTTTCCTTTTTCCTTGTTTTTTGACATCTCACTTCTTTTCAACCTGTCACTTCCTTCCTCAGAGCTAAATTCTGCCCTAGTAATTTTAGCAAAAACCAAGAGAAGCAAACGTTTCCTGGGGGGACTTGAAATCGCTTTCCCATCAGTGGAGATTTTAAAGTGTTCTTGCATGTGTTTTCTCCAGAAAACATGCTCACAGAGTCAGCATCGCAGTCAAAACCACGTTTATCTCTTTCCTTTAGCCAGCCACTAACTTTAAGGTGACTCTTCTCACAGACAGAATCGTGTCCCCCCCATGCTGTGTAAGGCCTGGACAAGGTCATCCAGCTGAGGTGCCTTCAGCCCACAGTCATCCTCTGACAAACCTCACAGCACAGCATGTTCTCTCCAGTGCTCAGTTATGCAAATCCCAGCAATCTGCACGAACCATCCTTCGTGTCGGGGCTGGCACACCTAGAGCCGGGGCTCGCCAAGAGCCCGCGGGTCCGGACCACGATCTCCCGGGGCTGAGGGATGGGAGGTGTCCCCGCTCCCCAGCCCTGTGCTCCTACTCTCACTGACCCGTTTCTAAACCAGGCACTGCGTTAGAATCTGGCTATTGCAACCAGGGAGGAGGGACTCACGGACAAGAGCTATAAGTGCACGCTATATGAACAGACACTGAAGGGGAGGGAATGCAGAGCACCAGAAACGCACGTGTGAGAAATGAGAAGTCTTTTACTTAGCTCCTTAGCCAGTACATGGACTTGTGACCACAAGAATAGGCTGCTTTATGGCCATTCTGCACAGGATTCTGTGAGGTTGCTCGCTGTTTGGTATCTGAGAAGGAAAGGCAACCTCCTTTCTCCCAGTTGTGCCAGCAGAAGCAAGCCTGCATCCCTGAAGATTCTGCACCGTGCGTGACCCGTGAGCACGGCCGTGTGCTGCAGTCGGTGTCCCGGCTTTCTGTGGCACAGCGACACCCAGAAATGCCACCAGCCTCCGCAGGAGCTGACGCTGAGGCTTTGCTGCCTTTTCAGGAAGGTTTGAGGACCGCAGTTCAGCTCAGCACTTAAGCACATGCCCCTTGTTGGCTGAGCACGTGCTTAACAGCTTCACGGGACAGATCCAGAATCCAGCTTCTGTGTTTCTGGGTCTGCCTCCCGCCGCATTTCCCAGATCAGCTCTTTGGAGGTTTATGTTGCATGACTGTTGTTATATTCTTGTCTCCACTCTTACTAACCTCCTTTCCCTACTCTCCTCAAGGCCATGGCCATGGGAATGATGACAGAATACTACCACTTCATCTTCACCACTCTGGTAAAGTATCTAATCCGTGCGATCTGGTAAAGTACCTCGTCTTGCTGCAGGGCACCAGGGCGGTGGGGTGGGAAGAGCGAGGGAAGGGGCGGTCTGGAACCCTAACAGCAGGTGAGAGCAGGGCTAGACCGAGCCTCAGGTTAGAATCAGACCGCAATGGTTTGGTCGTAAGGTCTCTGCAACTGCAGCATTGCCCGGGTGCTCATCCTGGGAGACGTCAGTCTTTTCTTTCGCTGCTTTTGGACTGGCTCACTCCTTTGGAGCTGCTCCGGCATCGCACAGATGTAGGTTCTGGTTTTATTTCCCCTCCCAGTCATTTTGATTTCGGTGCAGCTACCCGCGCACTGAAAGATGAGCATATGTGTGAATTTGCGAGGCTGTAGTCCCACAGACAGGATTGGATGGGACCAAGTTTCAGTCAGAACCGAGCGTGTGCTTCTGTGTGTTCACCAAGGTCTGCCTTAAGAGCCAGGAGCAGCCCTGCTGTGGTCAATAGTTCAGTGCTGCGGGTTTATTTTGCATGAGAAGAACTCAGCTTGAAATTAACTCCACTCTCATTAAACACGGGCCAGTTCTTCTCTGACTCCAGGAGGCATTTTGGGTTTCATTTGGGTTTTTTGGCACGCCACTTTTGTTTCCCTTTGGGATTCTATTGTCTAGTATACTGCTGAATTTTCTGTGATTTTGAAAATCCAATTTATCTTTTTTCCTTTAGGAAAGAAACAGACTAAACTAACCCTTAAAAACCGCAAAATTTATTTTTCAAATGCAAAAGACATTTTAATTACCCCTGCTGCCATTATCTATTCCAGGCAGCTTTAAGCATTTCCCAGATAACCTCCTATTAATCAGCCCCAGCTGAGCCTAGAGTACATTTCATGTGTAGGTACAGCCTGGAGGTGGGAAAAGAAGAATTATAATAAATTAATAGATAAGCAATCACAATTAATGCCACTTTCCTGAAATAACAGTCATATCATGGGAAAGATATTTTAATCTGTCATTCCTTAAGGCAATGTTTTCCTAGCTTGCAATGCATGTGCTTCAGCTTCTACAGTACTAGACCCATGGGGTGCTAATGAATTAGTCTATTATGTTATACTGAATGTTTCTAAAAGGTCCCTAGTCAATACTGAGTACAGTGTATCAACACTTGGCATGAAATGCTTCAACATTTTGCTAGGCAGCAAGACTACAGTTCACTGACTTCAGCATGAAGAGCCCCATCAGCCTTTTCTACCAGAGGAAGAGGAGGAACTCTTCCGAGCCTTTGTCTAACGCACGCTCAGCTTTTACATCCTGCGTGGTCCCACGCAGTGACAACCCCCTTAGACTCAACACTTCTAAGAGTTTCTCAGCAGCTTGTAAAAATGAGTCCATATAAATACAGAAGTTTCCCCACTGCCTGCTGCCACTTCTGGGGTTGTTCAGCCTGGAGAAAAGGGGGCTCAGGGGAGACCTTCTCGCTCTCTCCAGCCACCTGAAAGGAGGATGGAGCAAGGGGGGATCGGACTCTTCTCCCAAGTAACGAGCGACAGGACAAGAATAAATGGCCTCAGGTTGTGCCAGGGGAGGTTTACCTTGGGTATTAGGAGAAATTTGTTCACTGAAGGGGTTGTCAAAGCACTGGAACAGGCTGCCCAGGGAAGGGGTTGAGTCACCCTCCCCGGGGGGATTTAAGGCACTTGGGGACGTGGTTTAGTGATGGGCTTGGCCGTGCTGCCTGCATGCTTGAACTCGGTGATCTTAAAGGTCTTTTCCAACCTAAACGACTCGTAAGATTCTGCTGCTTACAGCATTGCAGACAGGCAGAAGCAGGAATCTCTTCCCATGCTTTGAGTCGACATAAACAAAACTTCCACATCCAACCTGCCTTCTCCTGCTCCGGCACTGCACCAAACCAGTCCGGTTTTCCACTGGCACGGACAATCAGGTACTCTTGTTAAGCTCGACGTACCTGAGGCTCATGGCAGGACACGAGTGTACCCGTGACTGCGTACATCAGACATCACCCAGCGCGGCACACGCGTGCCTCCTCCCCGCGACAGCTGCCCCGGCAAGCCCGTGCCCAGGCGGGGACCCTCGGCGACCCGTGGCAGGGCACATTACCCACGAGTCGTTTTGCTCAACAGCAGATGGAGGAGGCGCTTCCTGGGCACCTGCTTTTGCAGCTTCCTACCGGGGATGCTAGATCTGGTGAGGAGCAGACCTCAGCACTGCTGCCTACGGCTGAGGAACCACAGCCAGGGATTTTAACTGGGGAGGTGGGAGAGCATGTGTAAGAAAGGGGAAGAGCTGCACAGGAACACCGAGATTAAAACTTTCTTAAAGGTAGTAGGATGGAGGGGAGAATTAATCTGCAGTACAGAAAAGAATGAGTGAAAGGGAGTGTAGATGAGGTGGAAAATAGAACCAGATGTTTCCATTTGTGGCTGTGCAGGAACAGAAAACCCAGAAGAAACTGATATAGCAGTTCCCCCCCACACCTCTCCATGTTCTGACACTCAGCTCGTATTCTTAATTATACTCTAATTCCAGGAGATGTTATATGAGGTTGCAGCAGAGATTTAAACTGGAACCAAGATGGGACCTGATGGGAGGTTGGATTCTATAGGAGCCTGGTGAAATGAGGGGTCAGTTTGGAGCAGCAGGATGGGGAGGGCACCCAGGGTACTGGCAGGATCTGAAAGGTGGCCAGGGCTGGTGGGCTGACAGCTGTGTGATGGAGACCGGGAGGTCTGGAGCTCCATGGATCAGATTTGTCACACACAGTCACATTCTGAGGGGAAAATGATCTGCTTTTGAAACCAAAAATTATTTTCCCCCAACATTTTCTAGAATACAAACTGAAGTGTCTGACAAAAAGTTATGAATCCTGAAAAAATAAATCTATCCAGTGGGTCAGGCACAGGACCACTGCACATGCACATACAGATGATGTGAGCATCTGTCTGAGGCTGAACAACTGTCTTTGCCCTTAGTTACCATAAGTCATTTAAAAGTCAACATTATGGCCTGGTTTTCATAATGCCCTTTTAACAAAACATGGAGGTTTGTACTTGCAATTTTTCAAGATTAAAAAAAAAAACCAAAACAAAACAAAAAAACAAAACAACAAAAAAAAAACCCCAACCAAATAACAAAGATCCTGAACTCTGTTGTGGGTGTGATTAATGACTCGGTCCCTGGCTGCACCTGCAGATTAAAACATGGCATCCATCAGCAGTATGCCTTGGGGGTGCAAAGTCAGAGGCCAGCGCTTAAGGAAAAGATCAAACCCCCAAAGCTTATTAAAGCAAAACAACCGTAAGAATTTCTTGCTCTCCCACTGAGAATGAAGTCGCAGTTGCTGGCAAGTGCTGGTTTTGTTATGCTTTGCTTAGGGCAGTATGTTTTAGGACCAGTGCTTTTCCTGCTCCCCCGTGGGCAGAGCAGAGCTCGCTGCTGACGGCCGCCGTGCCTGGCTGAGCCCACAGCTTGGCTGTGTCCTACCAGTAAAGCCACAAAACACCAACAGCCACCTAATCTCATGCTGTATTTAAATTTGTTTATAATCCCTTGTGAGAGCAATGAACATCATTCCCGTATTCACCTCCCACCCTCTATCACAGAAGACAGTGCTGTTGCCTTTCTGCCTCCCCACATTTTTACTACCATTAAACACTTGCAGAAATTGTTTGGGATAAATTCTGATTAAATATGTCCCATCCAACAAACGATTCCCGCTAACAACGCCCCCTCCCGACTGCCATTCTGCACCACATTCCTTCACAATCCTCCTCAGGTCAACTGCCCTGGGTTTTTGCTGAGCAGATCAGCTGTAGTACGCTCTTGCCATGCTGTCTAACCCCAAACTACTCAGACTAGCTACTGCGCACTGAAGTTAATCCCTGAACTGAAGTTAATACTTAGACGTGCAGCAGAGCCAAGAGATGCATTAAAGAAGTGCACTCGCAGAGGCCTCCAAGTGCCCCCCTCTCGCTGCCTGCCAAGTGATGCTCATGGGCCGGCTGCCAGCAGAGCTGAGGACCGCCTGGCTGGGGTGTTTTTAAATCGGATAAAGGGCACTCTCATTCATTTGCAGACTGTGTAGGCTGGTCGTAATGTCAAGAAACGCGTCTTAGCTCCTCTTTGATAGTTGTCTGCAAATTGGCATTCTGCATTCAGTTACTCTGTCATCTGCAGCGCCCCGTGGGCTCCAGCACTCACAGCAAACCCCCCGTGGAAAGGCCTCGGGGAGCTCTGGGACCAGGAGCTCTGCCTTGTCCCCTCCCCCCTGGCTGCGAGCCTCTCTTTTCACGGTTACAGAGAGAAATTCTGGGTTTCTCCCCACAATTCACTTGCCTCTGTTATGCAGCGAGTGAGTTCCTTGGCAGGAGTTTCCCTCTGCGGTGTGTGGGTGAACCTGCACATATGACACCCGAATTCCACTAACACCTACGAGTCTCTGCAAGCAGCGACTGATGGCAACAGACAGTACAATCCACCAGATTCATGAGGGCATCATCCTTCCTCCCACCTTCTGTGGGCTCTGCCTTCTCACTTCGAACACAGGCATGAACCGATGCAGAAAAGACAAACAAAACAAAGCTAAACAAAATGTTTAAACTGGTTTCTCTCTTTTAAGGATCTTTATGCATTAGACCTAGAGCCATACCGCTACTCTGGAGTGAACCTGACCGGCTTCCGCATCCTCAACGTGGAGAACCCGCACGTGTCCTCCATCATCGAGAAGTGGTCCATGGAGCGGCTGCAGTCAGCGCCCAAGGCGGAGCTGGGACTGCTCGACGGCGTCATGATGGTACGAGAAGTTTAAGCAAAGCGCGGGGGAAGCCTGGGAAGCAGACCAGAGTGGTAGGGAAGGCAGGAACATTTCCTTAAGGCCTAAATGTGATCGTTCTTGTAACGACCCATCCCAGGTATCTTCCACTAGTTACCTGCATTCTTTAGTAACTGTCCCTCAAATGCAGTGAGGTCGGCTGGTGAATCCCCTGCAGTCAACTGCTGGGTTAAAACTCCCCTTTTGCAGGCCCAGCTGCCACCAGATTTGCCAATTTGGAGAGACAGTGCTCCTCCACTCCCTTTTGGCTGGTAAAAAGCTGTCCCGAGGACCAGCAAAATTCAAAGCTTTCTGTTCCAGAAAGGGCCGAGCACAGTGGGGAAGAACCCCGGCTATTTCATGCTGGGAACAAGGACCTGCCATCAGCTGGGTGTTGTACCCCTTGTTCAGGCACAGCAGGATTTCTCCCTGCTCGCCCGATGTGCAGCCGCAGCGAGTGCTCCCTGCCCGGGGACGAGACGGGCTGCGTGCACCCCAAACCCCGGAGCGCCCAGGAAAGGGCTTCCCCTCTCTCTCTGGGGGCTCTCCACGAGTCCCGTTTCAGCTCAGGGCAGGACCATCGCCCTGCAAGTCCCTCTGCTCAGCCCTCAGCAGCAGAAATTCCCCTGGCCCACCGGCCGAGCCAGGAGCCGGGGCCTCTCCCGCGGGGGCTTGCCGGGCTCCAGCTGCCCTCCCCGCCCCACGCAGCCCCCGAACGCCCAGCGCCCCGGGACTGGGAGCACAGCCCGCGGCTGGACGGGGCCCGGCAGTGCGCCGAGATTGATGCGGGGAGAAAGAGCCAAGGCCGTGCCCGGAGACGGGCTTTGCGGCAGCTTTGATGACTCCTTTTAGGGTCTGATGGCAGCTCTGCTCCGCTGAGTTACTGCTCGGAAGGTACGGCACCTGCTCGCCCATCTGTCTTCCCTGCGAGGCTGTCTCCGACCCCCGTAATTGCTGACTGGCTCCCTCCTTCCCTCTCCCTTTAGATCTGCCACAGCCAACCCCCACAAGTGGCAAAGCCTCCCAGACTTTCACCTTGAAATGGCTCCTCATGTCCCTCCTGTTCTTTTTTTCCCTCGGAGGAGAGCCCCGCCGTTCTCCTTTCTGCAGCCTTGCCCACCACCGCAGCACTGTACTGCCTGCAACAGCGCCGGGCTCCCCCCGCCGCCGCCTCCCCTGTTCCCTGTCCCTTTGCTTCCTCAGAGGGGATGGGATCCTGCCTCTTCCTGGTGTTTGTTATCCCAGTGGGGCCCTGATCTCAGCTGGGCATTACTGGATGTAATTCACCGTGGGGCTGCTTAGACAGATTCTTGTGCCCCCTCTCTCCCAGCCCCGAGCTCACAAAACCCGTCCCCGCCGCTGTACGTACAAGCCCACGGGATGCAGGCTGGGTGCCTGCTCTTCATGCTCGGGTGCTGCGGGAAGGGAAGGTCACGGGGAAGGCTGCCAACACTAACACTGGGGGATTTTCTCCATGACCACGTCCTGCTAGGTATTTGCCCAGCTGTTTGCTGCATTATTTTGTTTTATTGCGTTTTATTATGCTGCCGCTATACTCATATCTGTTTTGTAGCTTTGTGAAGCCAGCAAGTAATGTATTTTCACTGGGAGGTCTTACCATATCAGAGTGGAAAATAAATCCAATTCTCTTGATCAGTGTTTGGAGGTGAGATTGGGCATCTCAAATTCAATCTAAAGCCATCACACTATATGAAAGGAAAAAAAAAAAAAAAGTTCTCCCTAGTTCAAACCACTGAAATACAGAAAGATGTTACACATCTGTGAGGTCCCGATTTCGATGACAGTTTGGGTCGTTTTGGAAAAATTCCATGCCCACAGACAAGCCATTTAACTTCTCTGTTTCTTATTTCCCCATGTATAAAATAGTGTGGATAATACATTCTCATATAGGTTTTTCTTACACTCAGACAAAACAGACTAAATAAGAAAATCGTTACTATCTTCTACATTTAGAAAGAGCTACCTTCCTTGTCTGACAATGCAGTAGTAAGTGCACTAGAAATAACCAGAATAGAAGCACACAGACAAACGACATTTTCACAGTCTCTGCTTTTAAGACAGAACTATGATCTTTTAGTCTAAAGAGCTACGTAACAGAAAAACACACTCACGAGGCTTTGTCACGTGCCGAGCTACACGTTTTGAGGACGTGCTTTGCACGAGAGGTCCGCTTAGAGGTTTATACAAGCCTTGTGTGAAAGCGTACGATTTACGGCAGTCTCCTGAGCTGGCGGTGATCTCCTGGAGCCCGGCCGGGCCCTGGGAGCGCCGGCTGCAGGGTTGGACACCCGGGGGCTGGGACCAGGACAGAGAAGCCCCCGGGTCTGCCGGGTGTCGGGCAGGGGGTAACTCCGGGGGTTCTTGCAGCTCCTCCTGCGCCGCGCTACGCACGCCCCGCTGCTCTGCTGTGCGGTGCCTCCTTGCTCCGGAACTGCCACCGACACAAATGCTGTTCCCCTTTACTTTAGACAGACGCTGCCCTCCTGTACGACGCGGTGCACGTGGTCTCTGTCTGCTACCAGCGCGCCCCTCAGATGACCGTGAACTCCCTGCAGTGCCATCGGCACAAAGCCTGGAGGTTCGGTGGCCGCTTCATGAATTTTATAAAAGAGGTAAAAGCATGATTTGCGACCATAATTGCTTCCCGCTAACGCAAAAAATTCCCCAGCAGGAGCAGCACAGCTGCTCGGCACAGAGGTACGGAGGCACGTGGCAGAAAGGCTTGGCAGGTAAAGGGTTATAAAAAATCCCCCCACCTGGCCCACAACTGGATGGAAGCACGGATATACACCAGGCTGCTGAGTGCGCCCAGAAAGGCAAAATCCTCTCTTTGCCTTCAAAATAACATCTATGCAGCCACGCCAAAACATCCCCAACCAGCTGAAATCTCCCCTGCTGTCACCGAGACTTGGCCTGGCCTCTTCTTGCGTCAGGAGCAGCTGGACCACTCTCTCTCGAGGCTGTTTCTTAGCAGAGCAATAGCCATTTGCCTTTTACAGGAACATTTGCTCGGGGTCCACAAAGGGCATTCAGTGTCGCTGAATCCCAGTGGCAAAGCTGGCAGCGCCGAGCGGCTCTGCCTGTGTGCTGATGAATGGCTTTGGCAGAGCGGTGGATTTAGCAAGTAGGGAGCCCGGGCAGCGAGGAGGCAGCTTCGCTCCGTCTCTGTTTTCAGTCATTATGATTTCTCTGTGTTCAGCCCGTGTAATTGTTTGTTTGCATCTGGCTTAAGCACGCAAGCAGACTCACAGCATGGGTGCGTACGAGCCGTGAGCTCGCCGAGGGAGTGCAGCACAGGCAAGCTGCAGGGAGAGGTGGCCAGCCCTCCCAAAAGAGCCCCTGAGCAAGCACCCCTGCACTCCCACCCCGGGTTTTGCCCTGTCTGCAGAAAGGAGACCTCACATCAGAAAAAAAGGAAGGCAGAGCTGCAGGGAGATACTGCAAACCCTACCAGAGACATCTCTGTGATAAAACACCCTTATTTACCCTAAGGCCTTTTCAAACTTCGACGCCTGTGGCTGTTCCCACGGCAAGTTATGAAGCTGGCTGCAGTGTTGGACACGTGATTGGGCCACATTTAAAAGGCTGGGTACAAAATCCACCGAAGTTTTTAAACAGAAGAGTAGAAGTACGCTGTTAATCGTTACGCTGATTTGTGCTGCAGGATCGCGTACGGACCCCAGCGGCCCCTGAGCGCTGGCACGTAGGGGCAGAGAGAGCTTGCCCACCCCAGCTGCTGCCCGGAGCGCGCAGACGTAAGGGAGGAGAAAGGAAGAACGATTCCCATTGCAGAGAGAGAAGGAACTTTTTTCTTAATAGGCACTGAAGATGGTCTTTCTCCTCTCTCTGCCTCTCCCTCTCCTTTTCCATGTTTTGTTCCCTTCTGCAGAAAGCTGCTCCAGCTGGCTGCCAAAAGAGAGTGTAAATAATTTGCTTGGTTGGCTCCTTTTGCAAATTACCCTGAGCCTCACACTCCAGTGCCTGCCTGTTGTTTCCCTTTCTGGCACCGAGTCAGCTCGTTGCAGGGATAAGCTTCCTCCCCATCGCAATCAGAACGCACAGTAATTGCTCTCTCTAAACCCCGGTAAAGACAAAGCAGGGCACAGAGGGATGCCTCGCCGCAGACCCCCGCTCCCTCGGCCCTGGGCCCCCCCCCAGGCACCAGTGCCCCTCGCCCTTTGCCGTGGCCCCCCCTGGACAGCATCGCTGCAGAGCTCCCGCTCCCGGGGTGATGCCCGGCTTCTTCCCCCTGGCCGAGGGGCGAAGGGGCCGGGATGGTGGCCCTGCCAGCCCCGGGGAGGCCACCCCCAGCCCGTGGGCTGTCAGGGCTCCCTGGGACGGGGGGGGGACAGGGCCAAGCGCGGGGTAGGAGGCGAGGGGACGCTCCTCTGCAGCCGCTGCCTGCCCGGAGACCGCTTGGAGTTTGCCTGCAGGGACAGGGCTGACACCGGCGGGATGGGGGGGCCGTGGCGATGCCGCGCACCCCCCAGCCCTGCGGCCGGGGCAGGAGCTGCAGGGCTCAGCACACAGCAGCGTTTGCTCCACTCGGGTTCGTTCGGCACCCCGTGTTCTCCCCGGCTCCCCGCGTCCCACAGGCAAAGCACCCGCACGCCAAACTGGGCAAACTGAGCACAGCCCCCCCCCCCCACCCCTCAAGGGTGGTGAGGCTGCGAGGACGCTGTCCTCGCTGCTCAGGAATTAATGAGGAAGAGCCAGAGGAGAGTATTTACTGGGAAATATGCCAGTTGTTCCCCCCCCCCGAGAATATATTATGCCACCTTCATCACACGGGGGTATTTCGAGCCCCCCCACCCATAAAGGAAACATTGATCAGCAAGGAGCAGGCACTGAGCTGCTCGTGGGAAAGAGCCCGAGTCCCAGCTCTGCCCTTCTGCGGCGCGATTGCAAAGGAGTGAACGGTGCCAGCAGCCTGACATCCTCGCCCCGAGCTCCCCAGTCAGCCCGGGGCTGGGCAGGACCTCCTCCGGTCAAGCACTGAAAATCTCCAGGCCCGGGGCTTCCCCAGCAGGCGCCTGCCCCGAGCTTACGCTGCCAAAAACCGACGCGGGCGCACCCACCCGATTCCCATGCCTGTTTCCCAACAACAGAGCCTGCGAGCACGGCCAAGCTCCTGGCCCCTTCTGCTCCACTTTCCATCTGAAAGGCGGGAGGGAAGCGTTCAGGACACTTTAGCTTCCAGACACCTTGGAAGCATCAGCAGGTTCGTGCAAAAAAGGATTATTTATGAACTTGACTGGAGTTGTCCCAAATCCAGGCTCCCTGCAGCCTGGCATTTATCAGTACTACAAGGATAAATGCAGCACACAAGGATACCATGATAAATGCAAGCGGTTTTCTACTGAGTCATCACGTCCTGCAACAGCTGGTGAACACAAAAGGTGTGAACGAAAATTGTAGCAAAAACTGCAAAAGAGTTAAGAAAATCTCCAGCTCTGTCTGCAGTCTGAACGGTGACGGAGGTGATTATTAATTAATCATGCTCTTTAGGGAGAAAGAACCAGTGTAAGGACTAATTAAAAGAACATACAGTGGAGGGCAAAAGATTATTTATGATACCAAGTAACAGCCCTGCTACTTTTTCTCTCTTCCACAGGCCCAATGGGAAGGATTAACAGGACGAATTGTCTTTAATAAAACTAGTGGTTTACGGACAGATTTTGATTTGGATATCATCAGTCTCAAAGAAGATGGTCTCGAAAAGGTAGGCAGGGTTTGTCTTACCTGCATACGGCTTAGTCTAGCTCTGATACTCAGGCAACAGAGATAATGGTTGGTGGTTGCACTGTTTCCAGGTTTTCTGGTTTTTATATGAAGGGATATTTACTCTGTAGGATTTCTCAGATCCTCTTCCATGCCTCAACCATGACTCACTAGCCCTGAAGCAACTGGGATTACAGTTACTAGCTGCAGAAGGCTTGTGGCACTTTCCTGGGATAGTGGAAGCAGAAGAAACTTTCCGAGCAGCCATTAACCTCTCCTTGCCCAGGCCAGAGGTGGAAGGGATAAAGCCTGTCCCACACCCATCTTGCTGGGCTTGCTTACAAAACGTTGATTTTTCCCTGAGGAGGCAACAGCTCTTGAAAGCATCATCTCGGTGTGATTTCCTGCAATGAAAATTGCCTAGGGCTTGGAAATAGCACCAGCTTGTTACAGCCTAGATTTTGCAGGAGGATGCAATGGGTATTTTTGCTTATTTCTTGCCTGCATTACCTAAGGGCCAATAAGAAAAGAAGCCACGTGTGGTTTTGCCTGGCTGGCTGGAGGGGTCTCCTTCGGTGGCCGTGTTTGCCCGGCCACCCAGAAGCCACTCGGCACAAAGGCTGCAGCCTCAGATCCTCCTAATTAGTGCAAACCTCCTCTGGGCACAGAAATACAATGCTAGTGTGCAAATCTGATTCTCAGGTGTTCATGGGAATTTAATTTCCTTTCGTTCAATTACTTCTTTTTTTTTTATAGAAAAACCAAAAATATGCAAAGCATTTAGAGTTCCTAGAGCAGGGTTTCAAGGTGAGATCAGTTCATTTAAGACAAAAGAGAGCAGCAAGTGGCCTGCAGTGAGGAAAGCGCGGCGCAGCAGACTGCTGGTACCCCCAGCCAGCGATGCCCAGGGCTGCGGCCAGCCGGGCTCCCAACACCGGCGTGGGAGGCCGCCCAGGGCCCCATCGCGAGTAATTCCCCGTGCCCGTCCTGCCCAAGGTGTCCTGCACGGATTCACAGGAGAAAGCTGGTGACTGGGCAGCAAATCCCTTTCTAGAGCCGAGTCTGCTTTTGGACACGCAGGAGGAGCCTCCTGGCAGGGAGGGATGGGTGCTGAGCCCTGGGGCCCCTGGGCACCCGGACAGGTTCTGCCCCGGGCAGGGGAGGGAGCTTTCCGTTAACCCTGCATCATCGGGGGCCCAACATGCCCAGATGCCTTTTCCAGTCCAGGCGGGGGAATTAATCACGCAGCCCCCCCGAGGCAGCAGCTGGACCAACCCCTCCCCGCTGGGAGGGGACGGATGCTGCGCGGTTCAGCTCCCTGCGACCAAACAGCCTGACTCCCCCACCCCCCTTTTTTACGGTTTGTTTTTCCTTCACTTTGAAATAAATTGTTGCCACGCTTTCACACCACAGCAGTAGTTCTTTGCTTCGTGTAAAAAATCTCAAGGTCACCACAGCACTCTCCGAGTGGGTATTTTTTGGTGTCAGATGCAGAGTAAAGAAAACATCTCACATAAACCCAGTGACCTTCAGTCTCAGCTGTGATCAGCCAAGCCTGTGCAGGAGGCAGGAGAGGAGCAGGGGAAGACGCTAGCTTCTCACAAGAACTGAGCACCAGACCATCTTTGTAGCTTCTTCTTTTTTACAAAATATTTGTTTATAGAGTCTAAAACAAAAACCCCAACACGTCTTTTCAGAGTACAGTGGCACCAACGGACTGCCAGAGAGCTGTGTTGGTAGAATAACAGAAAAATGTGCGAGTATTTGAATACCATGTGAATCTAAATGTTTAAGTACAGCCACAACATCTATCTGTCAAACTAATACTCCTCAGGTGTGCTGGAGAATAGCTGGCACCAGCTGTATTTATTGCTATTGTGCGTCACATAAAGCCCATAGGAAGCCGCCAAACCTTGATGCATACTCTGTACAGCCATTCAACTTTTGTCTCCAACAATTCAGAGATTTCACAGGTCCTGCTATTATTTTTTTGAAAGCTTCTTGTCAGCTCTAGAGGGGTTTTGAAGTATCGATGTCAAATCTCCGTTGAAGCTAGGTTTCTGTCAGTAGTTAATCTGAAATAACAAAATGCCAAACTACAAACAAATCCCATACAGATCGTGCATTATGTATAATAGCTTATGTTTGTTGAGCTTTAGGATTGAACTCCTGATCCTCATACCTCCTGGATGTTCCAGGGATTACAGGAGTATTAACTAAACCTAATTACATGTAGTTTGACTATCTGACTTGCACAGTTCTCTTAATGTACTTTTTCCCTTTTTCTTTCCTTTTTTAATATTTTAAACTGATTAATTCGGTCTTAAGTGCCATGTACTTAATTTTCTTAAAGAACAACTAAGCAAGGCATAGTTAACTGAGTCTGCAGTGCTGCTAGCAGGGGCCTCTTAGACTTGCTTCTCTTTTCCCATGCACAGTAATAATCTTCTGACATTGAAGCTGTTGTGTGATCGAAGGGAGATATGGGGGATTGCTTAGGTTTTACCTGAAATATTTAGAGCCTTTCACAAAGTTCCTAGAAACTCTTCTAGAATTTATGAGGTTTTTTTGCCAGGCAGAGTTGCTCATTACAAAGTCTCTTTCTGGGGATGCAGTAAAACCAAGTTCTCCCCTTGGACTGAAGAAGAGGTTGAAGAATCTTAAAAATATCAATAAATAAAATATCGGAAGTTCCTGGCTCCACGGTGGGTTTGAGGTGTATGCCTTTGGTTTCTCTCTGAGTCCCTTCTCACCGTTTGACCCTACAGATGGATCGTTCTGTTCCCATTTCCATGTGGGGTTTTGTTTTTTCTCACTGTCAGGCTGGCTATAGGGCCACCCTGCTCCGTTTGCTGGCAGCAATCCTACATTCCTCCAGCTTCCCTGACATCTTATCTGTCACAGTCTTTTAGCCAGTCCTGCCTTCAAAATTTGTTCTAAAGCCTCCCCTGCACTGCGGAGATCAGGTTAACAGGCTCAGAGTTGCCCAGATGACTTCTCTTAAATGGAGACACGCTTTGCTATTTCTGGATCAATGGATTTCTTCGGAGTCTAATAATTTATTGAAATTGACAGCTTGAGAAAAACAGAGCCCCTCAAATTGATGCGGAATGCAGCTGGGCGAGCCCGTGCCCGTGCCCGTGCCCGTCTGCTGCCAGGACCGAGACCCCCCGTTGCGGTGGGCTCCCCCGAAGGGGTGACCAGGGCCCGGCCAAGGGCAGGATGGTTCCTACCAGGGGTTTGCAGAGCTGGTCAAGTAATTTTTAATTCTCCCCACCAGTCTGCTTTGGTGAGGAAACAAAAAGGAAAGAAAACGGCCTCATATTTGTGGGTTTCTTCCTTTTGTTCTGCTTTATCCTTGCCCAGAGTTAACTCTGAGCATGGGTTGATTGTTTGCTCTACACAGAACCTTTGCAAATCGTCCATTCAGCCCCTACATTCCAGTCATCATTGTCTTCTTTTATATACCTGCATTAGAGGGCAGCGTAGGGATTATTACACAGCACAGCTGGAGTGACCTGCAACTGAGGGGTTAATGCAAATCTTCTGTTTAAGTGATGCAAGATGATAACTTCAGCTTTGCATCTGTTTACTGCAGATGACAGAAGCAAGCTCCATTTCCCAGGCCAGCAGGATGCTGAGACTAAGGGAGAAATGAAAGCCGCGTGTTCATGCGTTCGCGTGCTTGCTTCGTTTCAGGTTGGAGCATGGAGCCCTTCCGACGGCTTGAACATCACAGAAATTGCCAAAGGACGAGGGCCTAATGTCACCGACTCGCTGAGCAACAGATCTCTAATTGTCACCACTGTCCTGGTAGGAGATTGCAAGCCTGTCTATTCCCTCCACCCACGCACCTCGGGGATATCCCATACCTCTGAAAATTCACACCACCCCCGTACAAATCCGCTAGTCCCTCTGGAGCTGCCGAGCGGGCTGTGCCCAGCAAAGCTGCCACGGGCCAGCGCGAGCCAAGCGTGCTCCCCGTGCCCAGGAGGCTCTGCTCCTCCCGGCCCGGCCCCCCCGGCCCCCCGCTCCCTGCGGGGGGGAGCCGTTTGCTGGTGCTGAGCTCCAGGAAAGCCCCGAGTGACCCACTGAGCACCAGCGCCTGGGCGGGCACTGCCCGCCTCAGACAGCAGTGTTCGTACAGAATAAAATCCCAAGAACAACCAGAGCCCCTGGCTTAGCTGTGACAATCGTGTTTCTCTCCTCCTCTTAAGTACGTATTTGATAAACTAGCTACGAGTAATGCTGTTATCCAGCAAACCACGGTTGCTTAACAGGTCTCCCCTGCTTCCAACTGTCACGCTGCATTTTGTCCTCACATTCGCTATTGGATTTGATGGCAGGCATCAGATCAGAATGAATTTTTATTTACTATCTAATGAATTATGACTAGTGGCATTGGTTTCTATATGGCTGTATCACACAGCACAGGCTCGTGGCATGTCACCAAGAAGCAACAAAAAATATAAGCCCTTGGACAGCCTACCCAAAAATGGGCCTGAATTATGGTTTTGCCCACAGAAACTTTCTGGCCCTTTTGTGTTCTGTATTTTCAGGGAACATAAAGGTACAGATGGCAAAGAGCCAGCTGGGGATGCATTCCCCAGTCGGGAGCAGTGTGCTCCCTCGTGACATCCTTGCCCTCCCGAAAGGACGTGACCTGACAGAGTGGGGTTTTGTATCACAGAAAGATTGGGACCAAGAAAGTGTCCAGAGAACAGAGATAGGAAACACTCGGTCCAGGGCAGAAGAAGAGCTGGAACCAAAGGTCTCATGTCCCTCAGCAGAATGGAAGCAGGCAGAATGTGAGCCAAATAGATATGCTGCTGCAGATTTCCTTGCAAATTAGACGCTTCTTCTAATGAACTTCCCATTTACCACATAATACCTGTTCCAATGAAACGTTTTCATTGAAGTCCCTCTCTCCGAGAGCCTGGTACAGCCTTAGCTCATTGACTACACAGAGGAACACACCCCTTTCACGTCTCAACACGCAGGGGAGTCTGGAAAAGTTCCTTCCCTCCCCAGTCCAAAAGTTTTCTCCCGTGCCAGTCCCGTGAGACCGCGATGGGCCGTGCTGGCGGGGCAGCCCGCAGAGCACCCGCAGAGCCGGCGGCAGCAGGGGCTCCCCACTGGCTACCGCTGTCGAAATGAACCCCCACATCAGGAGCCACTGCAGGAGGAGCAGAGAGTCGGCAGAGCAAAAGGCACTTAAACGATTCAACGTGCATCAGATTGTAAGACCGCTGCTGCCGAGACCCTTGCAGCAGTGTGTGTGCACTCAGGCACGATACACATGCAGCTTGCTTGGTTTTTTTTTTTTTTTTTTTTCTTTTGCATTTTGGCATTTTTGGTGCATTCAGAAAGCAGAAATTTAGGTAGCGTTTTTCTAACAGGCCAAGTGGAGAGGCCTGCCATGCCAGGTTTAGTTCATTTTAGCACTGTAACCTAAAGTGCTGCCAGTACCTGTACATGGGAGATGCAAATTTTTGGGGGCAACATGAATAACACATCACATCGAGTCACTGCCAGGTGGAGGCTCAGGTTCAGCTCTAAGAGAACTGTTCAACCCGCACTGTGGCTGGATAAAACTCACCAGAAGTTGCGTGATGGTTACTCTTCGCCCCCATTCTCTTAAATTAAAACTGTGCAGCACATGGGGGAAAAAACAGGGGTGGGACGCCTGGAAGCACTGGGGAGATGGTTCGAGAGCCGGCAGCACCGGGCTGCGGGGGGGGGCCGAAGGACAGCACTGTGGTACCTCGGGACTGGAATACCCCTGAGAGCAGCACGGACAGGACTGAGGGAAACCAGAAAAGATGCATCGTGTCAGGAGTAAGATGCATGGCCAGAGTTGTGGAAAGGCCTGGGTCTAGGGCGCGATAATCACTGTCCCTCAAAGACCACAGCATAATGCAAAACGATGGAGCCAGGAGGAGACCTGTCAGCCATCTGCCTTTGACGTGCTTTTCTCAGGCAGTATCTTCATCTCATACTCCATGAGCACGTACAAATTACATAATGTGCAAGGGTGATATCAGTTCCTATTAATTGTGCCATTCCTTGGGCCTGCACATGTGCCACAGGGTATCTGCCTCGAAACCACAGCTGTCCTGCAATTCCCTTGCCTGCAGAAGAAGAAAATGTGCTTAGACCCAGGTTCTGCAATAATTGCATTTTCATATACTGGATTCTAAAAAAGAAAATACAACCCTAAATTTTATGTGCATTTGCAACACCTCTTTATACTTTTGCACTGGTGTAAATGATTGTAGAAAAGCCATAGGAGGAACCTTTAAAAGGAAAAGCATGAAAGGTTATTTTTTTCCCCTTTTGATCATATTGCAGTGACTTGTTGGAAGAGAAATATTACCCCAGCAGCCAGCGCCACTCTCCCCAAGCAATATGGGAACTGTGAAGTTATGAAATTGAGGGCACCTTCACTGAGAAATCGATTAGCAAACCGAGAGAGCTTGTGAATTGGATGTCTGGCCATTTTCAGTAATAAATTGTGAAATAGTCCGTGAATAAGTGGTTCACAGAGTTCAGAATTACCCCCTAGGAAATGTTTGAGACCTGGAGATACATTACTGAGGCGAGTGGCGTCCTAATGTTCAGTGCTTCGGCTGTTAAATATGTATGTAATCCCTACAGCGCTTCCCAAAATTAATAGTGCTTTATGGCTGCTCTGGAGCCGGTGTATTTATATCACGATCCATAGATTCAGCTGATCCACAAACAGAGCACCAATTCCAGAGAAGAAGGCTGAGGAGGCGGCCGGGGAGAGCAGGATTAACCGAGCTGCGCGTGCCAAGCTAAACTCTATAGGTGGCACGTTACCCGTTTCGCTTTGTAATTCTGCAAAAGGAGCTTCATGTGCTCTCTCGTCCCCTCCCAACCCTGCTGTGGGGCCACCCCCCTGCCCGCCTGCCCCCCCGGGGTGGCAGGGGGCTCCCACGGCAGGGGTGGGGGCTGGCACAGCCCCCTCCTCGGGGGGCCCACCCAGGGCAGGGCGCCCGCGCTCCGCCAAACCGGGATCTGGGCAGTATTCTAACTGGGGCTCCAGACCCTCCCTCCCACCACTGCAACGCCCCCGTCCCCGAGCAATCCTGCGGGGACTCCAGCAACGTGGCTCACTCGCCTGGGCGGAACGCGAGCCCTCCCCTCGCTGGCTACCCCACGGGCAAGGACAGTAGCCTTGCAGATACCTTCCAGTCAAGCCACGCGTTAGCTGCTGTTGATGTCTCATCCTCCCCTTGCCTTCTAGCTTTCGTCTGCTGCCTGCCATCTTTTGCCATTTCCATCTGTCCTCTACACGTTTTCTCCCCCGGGCTCCCCAGTGTCCCTCGTCCTCGGTGACTGCCCAAGCCTGATATCCACCAAAAGGCTGTGCAGTTTGCTGTGTGTTTGCTAACTTCACTTGCCAGCCTCTGCTAAAGAGGGAGGGATGCACAGGGCACACCCTGCTGTACAGCACTTTAGTAGTTATTTTTCACTTCTGCTGGTGCTTGGCGCTGCTGCGAATAAAGACACCCCCCAACCTTCCCACGGCAGCTATAAGTGGGGTAGACGGCAGAAACTCTCTCTGGGCAGCAGCAGGGCCCTGGATCCCACCAGCGAGTGCTGGCAAAGAGGAAAGCGAGCTGAACTGGAGGAGGTTTGGGGCTGGGCACCAGCCCTGCACAGCTCCCTCGCCCTGTATTCATCCCACCAGCCTCCTGCTCGCTGCAGCAGCAGTGATAGACAGGTACTGCAATGCGGGTCGGCTGCCTTTCTGCTGTGCGGGACTTGGGGTTGAATTTGTCCTCCCCCCTTTTATTGTTTCTCAACACTCTTCATTTTCAGAGCATGAAATGGTTATTTTTCTCCCTGAAAACCTACCAAATGGAAAACAGTTGGCTGCTCAGAAGAGACAAAATTAAATTTTGTGGGGTAAACAAGGTTGCTAATTAGCTGATGTACTGTGCAAAGTTAATTTATTCCCAACATGTCACGGTGCCAACCCTGCCTGAAGAGCCTTCGCCTCGCAGCCCAGGCCGACCCGCAGGGGCAGCCCTGCTTCCAGTGGGACCCGGGGCCAAGCTCACCCTTAACGGGGACTTTTTGCCTTCCCGTGTGCAGGAGGAGCCCTTTGTCATGTTCCGTAAGTCCGACACGGCCCTGTTCGGGAACGACCGCTTTGAGGGTTACTGCATCGACCTCCTGAAGGAGCTGGCCATCATCCTGGGCTTCACCTACGAGATCCGGCTGGTGGAGGACGGGAAATATGGGGCGCAGGACGAGAAAGGGCAGTGGAACGGGATGATCAAGGAGCTCATCGACCACGTGAGTGAGGCCCCGTGGGGGCTTTGTGCCTGGGGTGGGACGGGTGCCCACTGCGCGCTGGCTCGGGACACCCGCTGCGAGCTCCGAACCCCGCCTGGGCTCTGCGTTGCACCGTTTGTCCAAAGAGAATCTCTTTGTCCGACTCTTCCAAATTTTCCCTTGGAGTTTCCGAAAAGGGGCGTTCTCACGGTACAGGAGGGGGCTCCGTGGCTCCAGGCGCTGCCCCTGCCCGCGGCGGGACGCGGGAGGGGGCTGCCCAGCGGCCCCGGGGCAGGAGCAGCCTGTGCCTGCTCTCAGCCCCCGAGGACAAACCCGGGCCAGGGCACAACAGCGAGGTGGCTCCGGGCCCCCAGACGTGCCCCAGACACAGCTCAGCTGAATGCAGGTGATGTGTCCAGACTGCAAGAGCAGGTGTGCAGGGGACAGTTTAATACATTTTTTATATATATATATATATATATAAACGCGGTTTATTTTCTAAAATCTCCTGAGACGGGGAGCTCCCCCTGCAAGAGAGCAGCTGTGCTTCTCCTGCCGTGGCCATTCTAAAAGCCCATTAAACACGAGGGAAACTGTCGCGGCAGCTTTACTCTCGCAGCCGCCAAAAAGTCACCTAGTCTGAAACCTCGCCTGGCGGCCAGAGGTTGCTCGGTTTGCCTGATTAGATACTTTGCCTGCAGCACATCCTGTGATCCCAGAAGCCCAGTTAGGGAGGTGAGAAAACCTGGTGTTTTTACGAATCTCTGATTCCCACAAAGGGTCTCTGGAAGAAGAGACCAGGACAACATTAATCTATGATCTCTGCAGCACAGGCAGCAGTATAAGCAGTCCTAGCGCTGTGACACAGCTCTCCTCCTGAATATCCTGCTCAAGTGGTGCAGCCCTCGTACCTCCTTTTAAGTTCCTGGCTACGTTTTAAAAACATTGCCTAAGCAGAAAAGAGACAAAAATAATCCCACGTACGTAGCAGCTGTGATGCTCTTACAGTTCGTGTGAGAAGAATGTATTTGCTGGGTGAGTCACTTCAGTAAATGAGCTTCGCTGTGAGCAGACAACAGAGCATTGTCTGGTGGGGCGACTGCGGAGCTGGGGCTCAGGCACCGAGGTTGTGTTTCCGGATTTGGCTTGTCTGCCCTGAATGACATTGGACAAGTTGCTTCTGTGCAATACTTCCTCCATCTGTAAAATGCAGATGATAATGATTACGTCCCTTATAGAGACAAAGCGATGCTTAATCAGTTTGCGAAGAGCGCTGGCGTCCTTAGCTGGCTCGCCCTGGAGAAGAGGGAAGCACAGCAAGGGCATGCAAGGACAGCCCTTGGGGGAGCAGGACGCCGTGTCTCGCCGGGGAATATGCCACAGGCTGTGCAAACCTACTTTTGCATTTTTGCTCCCAGAGAATCCCATACAGCTCAAAATACACATTTTATAGGCTCTTACACAGCAGCCTTGCTAAATTAGACAAGTGACAGCGTCCCAGCGGAAGAGCCTGGTGCTTTGCTGGTCCCAGTGATGTGACACAGATAGGAAGGGAGGCAGAGCACAGGCTGAGATCCTCAGCACCGTGCTCCGGGACACGGCTCCTGCCGCCGCGAGCAGAGCCCGTGGCTCTCACCACAGGGTGTCTGTGCTGCGGGGCTCTGAAGAGGTACATTGCTCCAAAGCAGCAAGTAAGATACAGGGAACAGAAGCCAGACTGCCATTCAGTCAGAACCACGTCACTTCCAATGCCCTGCAGGATGTTACAGGGCTCCTGGGAGGCTTGCAGCCATTCCCAAAGCTCTGGTCAGCTAAAAGAGACAGACTGAGAAAAAGGTGCGGGGAGCAACCTCAATAAGTACCATGAAATACAGGGTCAACCTGCATTAAAGTATTTCTTGGCTATTTAAAGAGCAAATTAACATACAGCAACAGGAAACTACCAAATCCCCTCTTCTTGCGAGTTTTACTGCAGCATCAAGTTTGAACTCTGCTTTCTAACAGGTGTGGCTGGGTGCGTGCCTTGGAGTGATTTATAACCATTGCCCAAACCCCATATGAAGCCATTATTTTCTTTATCTGCATGTCATTGCTTTTTATAGCAGTGTTTATGTAAAGCATTAAAAAGTGAAACTGCAACCAGATGGGGCCCTTCCTCAGCAGCAAAGCATCTTCAAATTGTGTGCAGAAAGGAACAACTGATTGGCACTTTGCAATGGGAAAGTTCAAACTTATTTCACACCTAGGAGGAACAGTGTTGGAGACAGCATTCAAACAAAGTAGTAGTGATGAAAACAGGGATGCCCACACTGTGGGTTTGATATCTGGGCTGGCTTTCCTCCATATTCAGTGTCTCCTTCTCATCAAAGAATTGGGAACATTCAGGTGGGAGCATAAAGCAGGTCGGATTCTGTGAGGTCCAAACACCCAGGCCAGGATTAACTCTGCGCAGAAAGTCTGTGCGTCGCTGGAGACCCACCGAACCCCTGTGCATCCGCGCCCGAGCCCCCCAGCTGCTGTGAGGCACCAGCTCTGTCGGGCTGAGCTGGCGTGCAGGCTCGGCGGCATGAGCTGTGCACAGGAGAGGGTGCTCCTGGGGTGAAGCAAGAGGCTAAACCGGAGATTGTTATCGCTGGGCAGGTCTGAGAGCCGTGGGAGCAGCAGGTGCTGTGTACCAGGAATTAGCCTGACCCCGGGGCAGAAATTCGGTGGCAGGAGATGGGCAAAGCAAGGGGCAGCCCACGGCTCAGGGTGGCAAAGCAAGGGGGGCTGGGGACAGCTGGGGACAGGCGGGTGCAGTGGCAGGCAGGCCTGCAATCAGAGTGCTTCGGGGATGACGGTGCCTACCACAGGCAGGTGTAAATCAGAGCGCCCGTGACAGAGGACAGGCTGCTTACGCCGCGAGCTCTCTCTCATGGCTTGGTTTGGAGCCTGGCATCGTCCTCCTTCCCCCCGTCCTCTCTGATGCAGACAGGCCTGCCCACGGGCAGTAGCGCCTTAGGCTGTGATCCTTTGTAAAGCAGCTTTGTTTCCAGTCTGGCCTTAAGCATAAACAGGAAAAGCAACAGCAATCAGAGCAGCTCACAGCATGACCCTGTCTTCCAGGTCCCTGGTAGCAGATCGGGAGCAGCCAGCCTCATATGGTTAGATGCAGAAAGCCCTACCCCGCTGCCTTTCATCTGCTGCTCGTCCTTCATCACAAAAAAAAAAAAAAAAAAAAAAATCTCTCTTTTGAGGGAGATCAGTCCATTCCCTGGAGAACGAGACTCTTTCCTCACCGCAGTTGGTTGTTTACTGTCACGCTGCCCGGCCGCTCGTGCAGAGGGGCCTCAGTCAGATGGGCCACGAAAGCTGAACTCGCTCCCAGCACTGGCATTTGGGGAGGTTTGGGGCACCCAGGTGGCACAGAGAAGCGCCTGTGCCCTGCATCCATAATAAAAAAGGAACCCGGCAACTGTCAGATCTCCTCCTTCCATCAGTAATGAACTGTTATTGATGTTTATTCATAGAAATTATTATTGATACAAGCAAAACTACGCTGTGCATTTTGGCCCATCCATTCTGATTTATAAATTCTAGCTGTCTGGCAAAATAATGCCTGCAAATCTGCCCTATTGTTTGTGGGCAGAATCCCATAAAACCAGCAGAATGAGTTGTTCTGGACATTTTGCACAAACTTGTTCACAAATAAAGCTTGTCTTCTGCTGAGACAGTGCATATCAAATTTCCATTCAATCTGAAACTTCATGTGGGAATAAAAAAGGTATGAAAAATAATAGGGTTTCTAATGGAAATCCCTGCCAACGGTACCTATAGAGAAGATGTAATATCTATCCTTAGGGACAATTTATGACAATTGATTTAACACTTTCACAATAAATGGGCATTTATTGACAGTAAATTCTGGCAGAAATACATATTGCGTCAGATTGCCACATTCCCATTAGTGTTCCTGCACTGGTGGATGTTTATCTCAAGTGTCATGAACTGGGGATTCATTTGGAAGCCACTGGGCCCGGAATAGGGAAAAGACAATTTCACTGGATGAAGCATTCTCCATCTCTTGTTTAGACACTGCAGGAGCTCAGCGTAAGGAGGGGACGGGAATAAACCAAAGCAGCTGGCTGCGCTTTCTCCCTTTGTGCTCAGCATCGTTAACTGGGGGGATTCACGTTTGCCATACCCAGTGATCCAGGTGACGGAGGCACACTGCAGTGTACGTGGGGAGCCCCGAGCCCCCCGCTTGCTTCCGCAGGTCTCTCTGGCCCTGCCCGGCCCTCCCCTGGCTTGCTCGCCGGCCAGGAGGTCGCAGGGCAGGGCTGGTCTCCCAAAACACGGCCGGTCTCCCAAAACACGGCTGGTCTCCCAGAACACGGCCGGTCTCCCAAAACACGGCCGGTCTCCCAAAACACGGCCGGTCTCCCAAAACACGGCCGGTCTCCCAAAACACGGCCGGTCTCCCAAAACACGGCTGGTCTCCCAAAACACGGCCGGTCTCCCAAAACACGGCCGGTCTCCCAGAACACGGCCGGTCTCCCAAAACACGGCCGGTCTCCCAAAACACGGCCGGTCTCCCAAAACACGGCTGGTCTCCCAAAACACGGCCGGTCTCCCAAAACACGCCGTTCTCGCGGGGCTGCAGCAGGCACCGTCAGTGGCAGTCACGCCTCTGGGGAACTTCCTTAAAGAAAACATCGCAGGGGGCCCGGCAGGACCTCCTGGTCGTCATTTCTCCTCTTTGCCTTACAGCTAGGTTTTCCATGCTGGCATCCGCTCTTAATTCACCACCGATATTAAATAAATTCATTGACAGAAATTATGCCTAAATCAGGACTGGAGCTGTAGGGGCAGCCATTACGAGCTGGAGCCAGGCAATTAACGCCGGCCCCGGTGCAGGGGGCACACGGTGGCAGGCGGAGGCACGCCTGGGGTGCTGCTGGGCACCACCTCGCTCCCCTCGAGCATCTCTTCGCACGCTGCCTGCTCCCCTGTCCCCGGCCGGCAGAGCGGAGGGCGGCGGGCAGAGGGCTCTGGGCACAGCCCCTCTGCCGCCAGGCCCCCGGCTGCAGGGGAGACCCCGGCATCCCCCCGGGCTCCGGCACGTCCGTGCCCGGGGGCCCCGGGGGCTCCGGGGGGCTCCGGGGGGGGCAGGAGCGCGGCAGAGCCGCCCCGCGGGCAGAGCGGGGAGGGGGCAGCGGCGGGACCCGCAGCGGGGCGGTGGGAGAGGAAGAGCAGAAAAGCACCGCGGCCCCGGCGCTGGAGGTGGCAAAAGAGACGGGGGGATGGAAGTGTCGGTGCTGCCAGACAGACACCCGGGTAACAATTTAAAAAGTAAAATATGCACTATTTACCTGTCTCGCAGGCAACGCACACATAATTAGTTTATGTAAATACCTAACTCAGATTGGCAAAATAAGCACAGAGACAGCTTATTTTCTTGAATAAATATTTATCTTGGTGCTCACGCTGTTTGTGGGCTCTGCTGTGACCGGCCGTCACACACAGCTTTCCTCCGGCGGAGGTCGGACGCTGCAGGTTTCCACAGTGACCGTGGCTGTGCAAGAGCTGTTCTGACCCACAGGTCACACTCCCGGGATAGCTGAGAACTTGAAGATAAGACTTAGCATTTTCTGATAAAAGCCAAATATCTCTGCAGAGAATACGATTCTCGAGCCACTGAACGCCCGGTGAACTCACATCAGTTCCACCCAAGTGAAAATGCTGTAACACTGGGTGAATAAGGAGATCCAAACCCTTCAAGGTGTGTCAGAGAAGTGTCTGCACTTGGTGTGTAGCTGCCTTAGCAAAATTCATCTTTTTGGCCTCAGTTCAGCAGAACACTTAAGAACATACCTAAGACTTGGAAGGCGTGCAAGCTCCAGTAAAACAGAAGCGTGTGCTTAAGTGGTTTTGCTGGACAAGGGCCTTTAAGCTACTGGCACTTGCTGTAATTCCTCATTTTTAATAAAACCCATCTAACTGTGCAACAGCATAGAAGTTGGGGCTGAATGAAGGAAGCAGTCAGGGCCGGATAATTGACTTCCCAGTTTGTAATGTCAGAGCATGACAAATGAAAGCTTCACCCTTGGTGGGTTTTGATTTAGATCCTCTCAGTCAGCAAACCCTTAATTAGAGGCCACCTTCAGAAAAATCTGCATTGATAAAAAGGATATCGAAGTGCAGCCCCGTACTGCCTTTAATAGCTCAGGACACCACACCAGATTGGGCTCCCTAATACATGCTCCATTCCGCCTGTGTGTGACATTTACTGCCAAGGACACGGGGCTGTGATCAAATCACAGGAGCTGCTAAAATGGCACAGTAAAATTTTATTTCCGCACTAAAAGCATTTTGATCCTTGGGCATCCATGCAGATTTCTCTCTCTTCATTTTCTGTGGTAAAGCATAAACTCCTAGCTGTTATTCAGCTTGCTATATCATTTTGATGAATTTGGCTTAGGATCTTTCAGACAGGCAGTTGCTGGCGAGCACTGACCACAGAACTGCTCATTTGTTTCCTCCTTCAGAAAAATTCGTAGCCAAATCGTTCAATATCTCCTTCGTTTTTCCCTGTTGAGTCAGGACACCCACAGAGAAGTGATGGAGGAGCTAAACCGCTGTATTTCTTTTGCCATTTCTGCCTTGTGACTTTGGAGACTGATAAGCCAAAATTCTCAAGTGTGCTGTAATGTGGGAGGAGCAGCTGAGCTGCGAACCTGAGGGCATCCGCTGCCAGGACGGTGCCAAGGATGCTGCAGACGCTGCTCCTCGGGTGCAGAGCTTCACCATCTCAACCCGGGCAGCCAGCGTTGCCTGTCCGCTCCTAAAAACCACCATCCCTCAGTTTTCATCAGTCGCCGTAGTCACAGCTGGCACAAAAGGGCTCATTGGGAAAATACTGTTTCCATTTTCTCTGAGTTGTGACAAATGCCAGTGGCTGAAACGGACGCTTTCTGTACCAAGCTGACTTTAAAATATATTTCCATTTGGAAAGTGAGAAGAAAAGGGAACCAAGCAGGGCTCAACTGAAGAACAATGTTAGAAAAAAAAAAGACATCACTTTTACCCTTATTACAGAATTCCTGAAACTCTTCTGTTCAGGACCTCTAAAGCTACAATCGTTGGAGAGGAGACCACTTCCACACACACACACGTATGTAATGGATAAAAGCTCAGGTCGAAACTCTTCTTATAGCAAAAAGCCCAGATTCCTGTATTTAAAAATATTCCACTGACTTTCGTCACAGATTTGCAAGGTCAAACAACATCATTAGTCTGACTTTCCTCCACAACTCAGGCCAGAGATCTTCACCAATTTCTACAGCGAACCTATAGTTTCGGTTGGAGTAAAGCATGTTCTAGCAAGACAGCTAATATTGATTTAAAGTTTGCAAGTAATGACAAATCCACTATATCTCTAGGTAATTATCACTCATGGTTAATTCAGAATTTTAATTTTCAGAACCAGATGTTAAATAAATCTTGCACGGGTATGTTAGGCACCTGGCAGGGGGGAGGTACTGCTCAACTTTGGAAATGTAATTTACGTGCCTGCATTTCCTCTGAAGTCAGTGATCCCGAAGGCGTGATCTGCAAAGCCCAGGCAAGGCAGCTGACATTGAAGTAGCCTTGGATGCATTTACTTAAGGGTTTTTTTAAGAACCTGAGTGAATGTTTAGTGAGAGGAATCAACGGAGATCTTGACCAACAGAAAGAGGCTGTCTGTGGTTGCTCACTGAATCTAGCAGAGAAATTACTGAATAGCAGAAATAAGAGAAAGAAACGCAATTCAGACAAGAAGTCCGGATGAAAAATATGCTCAGCTGAAACTCCTCGTGCCGCCCAGACAGTTCCAGCCCGGCGAGCCGGGGAAGGCACCGTTCGTCAGCAGAAGCGTCTCCCCAGCTCGCGGCCGGGGCCGGGGGGCTGCGGACGCCCAGCAGCCGGGAGCCCTCCTGAGCTTTCCCGAACCGCCGCGCTCCCACCCCGCGCCACCGCCTCCTCGGAACCAGCCGCGCAAGTCGCATCACGAAGTTCGACTGAGGGGAAAGAAATTGAACCTGCTACCTCATGCTGCTACGGTATTACTTCCTGCCACTTCATTCCGGAGTGGCCTCCCGCTGCGGCTTTCTCCTCTTGCAACAACATTGAAAGGAAGGCCAACAAAAACAAATCGTCTCTGCAGACGGTGGGATTTGCACACGGCAAACTCTCTGTTGTAGAGTTCTGTGGCAAGAGGCCAGCACAGCGAGGATCACAGACATTTTATACCATTGTAAAATACAATTTTTCTGACCATTTTAGAAGAGCCCATCAAAATGAGCTCACTGCAGCTGGGCAAAAGCTGTGGAGTCTGCAACATCTCTCTGTTGTCTGCACTGTATTTCGCTAGCTAACATCAGCCGAAAATCTGTACAGTGAAAGTCGTGGAGTATAATTAGCAAACAACAGACCACCTTTTGCTCTCCAGTCCACTGATTAAACCTGAAACAACTCTCCTAAAGATGGTAAACCCATCCGCACCACCACCTCCGGAATCTCGCCCCGTGTGTTTTGCAGACCCTGCCTCTGTGCTGGGCCTTTGCTTAGGTGATGAGAAGTTGCTGTAATGACTGGACCACATCATACCAGTTGCCCCTGTCCTGTCTCAGGCGTTCTCATGCCTAATGCCCACAGGCCAGTCCCTGGTCCCTTCCCCGGTGGGTTTTGGAGGAGAGCTCGCAGAAAGCCGCCCAACCACCGCTTGTGTGCGGCGCAGAGCAGCTCTGACGACAGCTTTGCGTGAGACCGCAGGTCTGAAGGGAAGCAGTTACACGGAGCCCAGCCTGTGCCAGGCGCCGAGGGTCCTGCCTGCGCCGGGGAGGGGGGCAGGACGTCCCCCCGGCTCTGGCAGAGGCACAGGGCAGATGTACCCCATGTGCAAGGGGCAGCGGGGAGCCCAGGGCTGCGCTTTGGGGATTCCTCAGCCCGTTACCACGGTGGGACTGCTGTGGGTGTCTCTTAAACGCCTCGGTTTCTAACGCCTTCTTTCTCTCTCCCTCCCTCTGCGTTGCACACAGAAAGCTGACCTGGCCGTTGCTCCTCTCACCATCACCCACGTTCGGGAGAAAGCCATAGACTTCTCCAAGCCCTTTATGACCCTGGGGGTCAGCATCTTGTACCGGAAGCCCAACGGCACCAACCCCAGCGTGTTCTCCTTCCTCAACCCCCTGTCTCCTGACATCTGGATGTACATCCTCCTCGCCTACCTGGGGGTCAGCTGTGTGCTGTTTGTCATAGCCAGGTAAGGACACGCCGGGGCCACCCCACATCACGCCCTCCCCACGCTCAGATCCGTTCTGCTGCCCGCCGTGTCGCAGGGGTCCAGCCACCCGGTGCGACCCACGGCGTCAAACCCCCCGTCGTTAATGAAATCGCTTCTGGTGCGTTACCCAAAGGCAGGCTGCCCTCCGGGCGTGGGGCTGCTCACAACGCCAGGCTCCCGTCCCTTGTTCTCTTTCAGACCTGTATCTCAGAGTGGTGCTAGAGGTGATGCAAACCCCACAGTGAAAATCAAAGATGTGCTATCCACAGGGAAAATTTGCTCCCTTCTTCACTAGCTAAAGCCTGTGTTATATCCTTTGTACTGCTTAACCGTACTAAATGTGCTTGTGTGTGTTTGCCTTATCAACATAAACCTGTAAGCCTCTTCTGCCATATCAGGACAAGCAGTTCCACAGATTTAGTAGACTTCCAGTACAAAAGAATTTTAAAATGCATGTTCTTTTATGATTTTAGAAATTCTGTCGCCTTTCCATTTCATTAGCACCTCCCTGGTATAATGAAGGGTGATTTTCCTGCTCTGTATTGTTCACTGTTCATGCTCCTCTTAGGTTGCTTCTCACCCACCTCCTCCAGCCTCTCCCCCGTGTCCTGGACACAAAGCTCCCGTGTCCCGCCCCATTTTCAGCTCCTGTCTCTGAACCCTCCACCAGCAAAGCTCCCACAAACCCTTCCCCATGACAAAAGAATAGAGAAGCTGTTGCTACAGATCAGACAATGTGTCTGTTTACAAAATTAATATGCATCTAATTAGCATGTTTAAAACCTCTATATTTAAAAGCAGTGGAATTTGCATATATTTGCATGTGTTATTAACTTCACAGAGTCTTTGATGAGACACACAGTCCAAGGCTGCTCTCAACATGTGATCCCACCTTTCCAAACCAAAACAAAGCACTTGCCTCCGTCCTGCCAGGCAGCTGCCCTCCTGGACCACACACAGCCCTCACCGGATGGTTAAATATTTTGCATAAACACCATGCCCAGGGAAGTTTCCGAAGCACAATCTGCACCTAGACGCTCATTTCTCATTTCTTCCAGTTCAATTTATGCCAGTGGTGCCTTCAGAAACCTCCCTGCTGACCCCACACCTTGGACTGGGGCTCTTTGCTGACGCCCTTCCCCAAGGGCTGCTCTGCTGTACTTTCCCCAGAGCATCCTTCAGAAACCAGCTTCTATCTAATCCACGGACATCAATCGGGTAGTCAAAGTAGAGATTAAATACGAAACTGCATCAACCAGAATCCATTAACCCTCCTGGTTACAACAAATCTGCAATTTTCAGCATCCCTCAGGTCCACGGAGGCATTTAGAGATGATTTCCTGAGTTTACCATGTAATATCCTAATTACATCTAACAGCAGTCGTCAGAGTAAACTCAGCTTAGCAGACAGCATTGGTGCTCCAAACCACCTGGGATGGCGAAGCAGCTGCATCCCCTGATCCTTCCTTCGCCGAGGTGCAGAGCCGGAGAGGTTGCACTTCACTCTCGGGGGGCAGAGAAGGCCCCTCCACGTTCAAGACCTGAACTGCGGTCATCCTCCTCCCCAGCCTTTGCCGCGCAGCTCTAAGAAAGCGGCCGTGCTCCGGGCCTGCGGGCGCTCCCCGAGGTGCCGCGGGAGCTGCCTGAGCACGGGCGGCTTTGGGCACGGTTTGCAGGGGGCCGGCGGGGAGCACAGGGCTGGGCACTGCGGTACGGCCAGCACCTCGCTGGGCCCACCCGGCGGCTCGGGCCAGCGAGAGGGCTGCGTGACGCGCGGACACGGCGGCACCTCGCTGCCGCTACACTCTTGTCAGAGGACGAGAGTCGCGTTGCCACTAAGGCACCGCTGCACCTCCCTGCCAGCCCAGCCCTGCAGAACCCCTGGCCGCACAAAATGCAAAACCCCGCTGCCGGCTTTGTCCTGCCCGGCTGGAGCCCGGGGGAAGACTGCCGGGGACTCCAGCGGGGCAGGATGAGGTCCCCGGCGGTTTGGCTTTGTGTCAGAGAGAGAGCCACGAGGCACTCCCAGCAGGAAAAGATACTCATCGGGGAAAATGAACCCAAGGTAATTACAAAAAGGAAAAATATTGCGATGGCTGATAGAACGCCTTCACTTTATGTCTCTGTTAGCCATGCAGAACATAGCGAGATGGGCTCTGCTGCCGTAACGTCTTTGACTTTAATGCCATAAAGTGTGAGACTGCTTGTGCAGCTTTGAATGACAATTCAAACACAATTTAACATTTACGAGCTTATTTTTCCCAACGCAGATGATGGCCAAATCCGGCCCAAAATGGCCAGATCCCACTTTCAAAGCATGCGAAATGGGCAAAATGTATCAGCACATGAAATTCGCTGCAGTAAATGCTGAGGAACGGTCAAAGGAAATGCTAGGACAGGCCCTGGTGTGAAAACACTTCAGACACCAAGAGGCACAAGCAGGAAAACCCAGATGCCTGTTCTGGGAGCAGCGGGGCTGCCCAGCCTCGGGCGCCCCGAGAGGGTCCCCGCTGCCCGGCCGGGGGGCCCGGGTGAGCCCCGAGCCCCGCGCGTGCCCAGCCCCAGGGCAGTCGCGCTCGGGAGCCCGCTGCCCGTTCGGACCCCCCTCTCGTGACCGCCCCGGCGCAGCCGACGCCAGAGCATCCGAGCCACTTGCTGTGCTGGGCTTTGTGCCTGGCGTCGAGGGATGAACGCCTGAAGAACTCTGGTGTAGCCTCTGGTTTTGTTCTGAAATGAGCCTCATCATCTCTCTACATCATAGCAGTCATGATGTAATACAACAGTTTTTCCCTACCAGGCTATTTTTTTGGCTGAAATTGAACCTATAAAATATTGCAATTACAGTTCCTTTTTCACATGTTTTGCTCCTGACATTTCTTCTGTCTTATTCTTTTAAAGCACACCACGTATTCAATGTAATTAAGGTTCTGCCGGAATGATCTTTTAACACACAGAGACGGAAAGCAAGAGATTTCATGGGGAAAATATTTACTGCATTCAGAAGTAATGGAAACAATATCTGCTTTTGACCCCAGCAAGGCCTCTAAAATTCCATCCTCAGGAGAAAACCACAGTCAAAATAGCAAAGCCTTAATTCAGAGACATGAGTCTCCTGAACTGGGCACCAGAGTCCTCTGCTGATGCTATAATCATAGGTCAATGCCACTTAAAACCAACTTAGGGACTATTTAGAGGCAGGCAAAGGATGTATTTGATCCATCTCCCCTTTTAATCAGTCTTTCTTAGTTATTGATGGAGCCCCTGCTCCTAACGACCCCAGCCCCCAAAGAGCCATAACCACTAGCAATTTATAAGGCTTCGTGGGGGCAATTTGTCTGGTGACTCTGGTGCAAGGTTGCAAGTGCGCTCTGCAGCTGGCTGATGTGAACTGTCACCCACCCTCAGACTCACACGGCCTTCACATTACAGCTAATCACCCTTGGGTGCACAACAGGGTGGGTGGGTTTAATATTCATCTTAATTGCAACGAGGACCGGGTTTTTTCTGGAAATTTCTCTGGAGATGCAATTTCGACTCAAAAGCATTTTGTGTTAGATCTTTAAAACTTCTTTGAAATGCTCCCGTTTCCCTGTTAAAAAGGCCAAGAAGAGACAAGAAAATAATCACAGTTTTTGATGAAATATTTCTCAGACCCCATTCTGCACCTGAGGAAGGGGGAAGCCAGCCCACGGTGAATCCTGAGCAGCCCCCATTCATTATGGCTCCAGCTGTACGGGGCCAACGAGCTCCGCTCGCTCCTTCCTTCATTACCCCTCAGTTTCCACTAATGGTCCCACTCGCTTTTCAAGCACTGAAGACTGTCGCTGCTTTGCAGTTTTCTGAATATTTCTCTGTAATTTGAGCAGCACCAGTAGGTTTTCACTGAGAGACCTTGAAGTTCTTCAGTGTGTCATCTTGTCAGGCTCATCTGATCTTACCGATTCCCTTTCTGTTTCATATTCTTTCACTGGCAGCCCAAGAAAGTTTTCATCTAATTCATGAACTCCAGCTTTATTTGACAGAAAGGGCTTAGGCGCCATCCTTTATCCACCTCTGGCATAAATTCACAGCAAGTTCCAAGGAATAGGCAGCATGTAAAGCCAGGTCTGAACTGAGTTTGATTCGCGTTTTCCTTTCTGATTTTCTCTTATTTGAAAAAGCAGGGGGAGGTGGGCAGTAAGAACAGCCCAGGCGTTGCCGGGATGAACGAGCAGGGCTGTCAGGGTGCAGCCTGAGCGAGGGCTCCGGCTCTGCCAGCCCCGAGCGGGCAGCGGCCCCCGCTGCACAAAGGCAAGAGTAAAGGAGAGGTCACTAAACCCTATCTCGCATGTGGAAAATAGAAGCAAAAGTGGGACAGGTGTACCCAGGACGAACTCTTCTAAAACCACAAGAAGTTCTGTGCGTTGCACCCATCCCTCCCCCACGGACCCCCCCCCGCGCCGAGCCCTGCTCGGTGCACCGCCCGGGGACCAGCTCCGCGTTGCGGGACCGTCCCGCCTGTCGGGCTCCGAGGGGATGCTCACGGCGCGACTGCAGAGCAGAGGCTGGGGGACGTGGCTTTTGTGCCAGGAGGGGCACTTGGGAGGGAGCTGTGGGTCTTCTCTCCAAATACATCCAACTGTCTGACTGAGGGCGCCCGTGAAATTAAGCACCAAGACATCTCCTTGGGTAGCAGCGCGTCTGGCAGAGAATCACAGAGAGAAATATCTCCTAATACAAAATGTGGGCTGGGCTTTGAGAAAGGGCTGCTGTGAAGCTACAGGGATTTCAGAAGGAAGTGGAGATGATAATTAATGCCTGGTTCAAAAGCAATTATACCAATTATGTTTTTAATTTAATCTCTGCAAAATTTGGGACTCTTAGAAAATGTAAATAAACAGCTCTAAAAATATTAATGTATCTCCTGTTGAGCATCCTCCCCAGATCCTGGTTAAAAGAGCTACAATCCACAGCAGTGCTTGCCTACCAATCCTAGGCAGGATTTGCAGATCATAGAAAATTCCCTCAGTTTTGCCCAAGAACTACAGGGCTGCCCATGGAAAAAAATACACCCCACAGGGAACATGTGTGCTCCCACCACCCGCAACAGGGCCGAGCATCTCAGCAGTCCACAGCGAACCCACACCAGTTTCCACTACTGTGCTGGTGCCCCAGCCACGCAGGATTCCTGCTTGTCAGGACAGAGGAAAAGTTCTACTTCCCACTTAGCTAAATCCCACCCCGATTCCCACGTGCACTAGTGGGACAGTCCCCTGAAATACCACAGTTCATCCCAGCTACTGCTGCGGAATCACTGCACCATCTTTCCTCAGTCAATCTAGAAATACCATTTTTCCCCACGTTTTGGAACTGTTACATACTAGAAGTCACGTTTCTGCGCCACATCCCATCCCATAGTTGTGTGCTCCGGTTGCTGTCGTGTGATGTAGTGTCGCGGAGATGTTCCAAAGAGACCGAAGGCTTTGGGGAAGCAACCTGAGATACCTCAGGAGGACCTGGCTCCCTGGGTTTCCTCACTGTCGGCAGTGCAGGACGCGGGGCTTACAGCCATGCTGGTCACTTTGGAAAATCTTGGCTGAATTTGTCTTTTTCTTTAATAAGGCACACAACCAAAGGGGTCAGCAGGCCCCATACAGCAGCACAAGATGTATTAAGGCTCTTTTTTTCCTGTTCCTTTAGGGTCTTGTCGTGCCACATCCCGACTAACAAGCTCTCGCTTTCCATGTGCCGCCGCAGGTTCAGCCCGTACGAGTGGTACGATGCTCATCCCTGCAACCCCGGATCGGACGTGGTGGAGAACAACTTCACCCTATTGAACAGCTTCTGGTTTGGGATGGGAGCGCTGATGCAGCAAGGTAGGGCGGCACCTCCCTGCCCACTCACCCCCCTGCCCGTTCTCACTCCCTTTGAACTTCCCCTCCGCCCAGAGCCCACCCAGCCGTGCCGGTTCGCCTGCACAGCAGGGATGGGGAAATGGGGGGGGGGACGGGACACGTCCCGGGGCCAAGCCCTGTCTGGGGCACCTCAGGAAAAGCTCCAGGGTTTTTATGACAAGAAAGCCTTCCGATTTCTTCTGTGTCAGAGCAGGCCAGAGCTCTTCAGTCTTTTTTTGGTTTTTGGGAGGCGGGCTGGGCACCTCCCTCCCTTTGTACCTTCCACCTTCTGTGGGCCAAAGCCCCCGTCCCACCAGCCCCCCCGCAGCTCGGGGGACAGACCCCTCGCTCGCCCCCCGTGCTGCAGCTGGCTGCCGGCACACACGTGCCACCGCATAACAATAATTACTGTTAATGAAGCGTGCCCGCTCTGGCGGGCGCCAGGAGCCGCTCCCGACTCTGCCAGCTGGAAGCGCACAGCCAGGTGACGGAGCGCGGGCGTGCTGGCCCCTGTCCCGCGGAGGAGCACCCCCCGAGGGGCAGCACTGCCTTGGTCTCCCCCAGCTGCTTAATTCCCCAAACTCAGCAGCATCCCACAGATTCTGTAAATTCTTACTTCCGTTAATTCAAGCGATTCGTTTAATTTCAGGATCTCTGTCCTGGCTTGCTCTGTTTTAAATCAACTTTTACAGAAGACGGGGCGTCTTGCCCTCTGGTCTGTCTCCATTTTCATCCTCTTCTGGTCATTTTGCGCATTGTGAAATGGCCTGAAAGTCCCTCTAGCACAGGGCAAAGAGGATGGCGAGGAGCTCCTCCAGGCAGCTCTGCCTGGCAGCCACGGCGCGCGAGACTGAGCGTTTTCAGTGTTACTGGTGTAAAATACCACAGTGACAGAGACCTTAGAAATGGGATCTGGATGGCATTACATTCATATATGTGGATGGAATAGAGCAAATGGAATATATAGATGGAATGAATAAAGTAAATCTCTTAGGCAGACAGCAGAGGGGGGAGCTTGTGAGCAGCTCTGACTAAGGAACGAAATTCAGCTGTGATCTAATTGCAGAAAATCCAGGAATAGAAATAAGTGGAAAATGTCAGACATTTGTCACACTTTACTTTACCGTGTATCGGTAGTTAAACCCAGAGAGCAGAGCCACCACAGCATCGGCTTGGCAGCAGGCACAGTGCTGCTGCCCCGTGCTCCCACTGCCGCGTGGGGCGGAGATCCCTCCCGACCTCGACGGACGGTGGCAGCTCCCAGCAAGACGGTTTAGCAGGATGAATCATCCTCTTAGCAGATGCTGATAAATGAAAAGAGCTGTATTCCTTTTAACTCTGTTCTGCATCTAAGAAGAAAAATATTTCAAAGCGAGACTGATGTCACACCGTCCGACGCATCAAAGGGCAAGAGATGGAATGGGAAAGAAGCGGGATCCTGAGAAGAACGGAGGCAGCCCTCAATACCCAAGGCTCCCCTGCTTCCCGGTGCCTCCTTGCTGCGCTCGGACAGGAGACAAGCTACACTCCATGCTGTGCTTTGATGCCACACTGCTTAAAATTGCTTTGCAAAGCCCGATCTTTGTTGCAAATTCCAGTTTGGATATATCCTCAGAACACAGTTGTTTCAAATCAAAAGCTCTTTCCTGGCTTTAAAAGGTATCTTGGGCGATTACAAAAATAGCACAAGCCATTTAGTCCTTCATGTCTGCTCAATAAAAGTCATTCCAGACCTGTTACACCTTTTATGCTGTAGCATCTCCTGCTTCCCTACTTCTAACTGGCATTCAAAGTACTGGACCCTGATAGTTCCTTTCTCCCACTGTTTGATTTTTTTTTTTAAACCTTGTGTATTTGAATACGCTCCCTAGAGTGAGTCCTTTGAAAAGTAATCCGTATAAAAGCGAAGCACTTTTTAAATGGCAGAACAAAACACGCATAAAAGTTCATAAATAGCTTGCTATTTAAATCTCATAAAAGCAGCCTAGTTAATTACTTCAGTTTGAATGTTTCCTGTAAATTGTGCACTGTACTCAAGGTCAGCAATAAAGGGAGAGGGTTTTTCTGCAAATGCTACAAAACCCACTCTGATTTTCTTGCATGCAAGATGTCTGGGTAATTTGCCTCAAAACCAGTTGACTTTAATTGCATAGCTGTTACAGTTTTGACAGTGAAACCTCATCCTTTTTATAGATATATATGTATATAATGTACATACTATATATATTTTTATATATATATGTATGCATATAACATACATACATATATATATATAAAGAAAGAAAATACATAAAACAGGTCCTTTCTCTCCCTTGCTTCCTCTTCCCTCCTTCTCCTTCCCCCTCTCCCACCCCAGGCTCTGAGCTGATGCCCAAAGCACTGTCTACACGGATCATTGGTGGCATATGGTGGTTCTTCACCCTAATTATCATCTCGTCCTACACGGCCAACCTTGCTGCCTTCCTGACAGTGGAGAGGATGGAATCCCCCATCGACTCGGCAGATGACTTGGCAAAGCAGACAAAAATAGAGTATGGAGCAGTGAAGGATGGAGCTACTATGACCTTCTTCAAGGTGAGACCAGGCAGAGGGTTTCTACCTTTCAGGCAGAGATGCAACGCTCTCAGGCCAACGGGACCGAGAACAAAGAACCAAAGACAAAGAGCCTCCTAAGCCAGCACTGCTGCTCCTTGTAAGCAGGTTGTTTCAGTCTCACATCCGTGTCAAGACTTTGGCAGTTTTGCTTACTGAGATTCACATCATGGCTAAATCCCCCTCTCCCCGTTCCTAACTGAAGTCACAATGACAAAATTATATTGATTTTACGGCTTCAGAGACTGTATATATAGGCTCAGACACCCTAAACCAAAGCACACAGTAGGCACAACAGGGCAGTGGTATCTTATATCCAAGCCCTACAGATAAATCTTGCGTTCCCTAAGGTACCTTCCCTATCTCCACATCTCACCCATTGCAGCCCCTTCCTTGTCTCTGCTGGAACAGCTCCAGAGCCCTCGGGGCTGGCCCGGCCAGCCTTCAGGGACAGGGAAGAGAACAAAGTAAACCTAAAGCTGGACAGATGCTGCAAAGGGCCCGCCCTGACCAGTTCTTCTACAGCTGAAATATCTTTCTTGTCCCTCAGGTATTCACGTTAATGTAGTCAAGTTTTATTAACCTCTGAAACCCAGTGCAAGGTAACACCACCAATGCATCAGAATCAAATTACATTAATTTCTTCTCTTTAAAGCATAATTAATTTCGAAGTTAGCCAACACTGCAGAGGTACACACTAAGAACATTCATATTTCACCATTGCCTCAAAATGGAAAGAAACGGAGAGACTTAAAAAGAACTTTAAGACCACAGCTGGCCTGTAAAAACACACTAAAAAAAAAAAAAAGAGAGAATAAAGGAATAGAAATGAGGGGTGATTAATCTAAGGAATGCTCACCCTGGCTTAGAGAAGAATTTCAATTCCACAATAAACTCAAGAAGCCATCTTTCAGGGAAAGGTTTGCCACTCGGGCTGCAGGCGGTGCCGGCCCCGGCCGCGCTCCCCAGCAGCCCCCGAGGGGGCTCAGGGTCCCGCGGGGCAGCACCCGGCCGGAGCCCCCTCCCCGCCCCACACCCTAATGCCCGAGGAAATAAATGGGCCAAAGTGTGACAAACGTAGTGCTTGCTTTAAAAAACAGGCTGGGCCTGGAATACTGCAATAATTTGAAGAGGCACCGTGTAAAGGCGGCTAGAGTAGGCCGTCAGCAGTTTAATTGCCAAGACTCATTCGAGGAAGCCAACGTGCTGAATTTCTGAAACAGCAGCATTCTTCTGCAACTTCCCCTGGCTATGGGTTGGCTAAGGAGCCCCTGTACCCTCCAAATCTTCGTGCTTACTTTGACAGGCAGCAAAACATGCTGGTAAAGGAATATGGAGGACCTGGTTTGGTTTGATCTATAATTAATTCTGGGAAATGAAAATGTTGCATAGCGTAGCAGGTTGCTGCTGGTTAGTTTGCTCTCTGCAGTGGAGCCGGTGCATGCGGTTTTGTCTTTGGCATGGTCAGATGCATTGCGTTACCTTCCAAAAGCAATACAAACCTAGAACAGCTATCAGGAAAAGACAGACTTTTGCTGTTGTGTTTTAACTACTCCTTCCAGTAAGAGTTTTATATGAGAATAAAAGGAAACTGTCTTTTTTAAAAATCATCAAGGACATGGTATATTTACTGTTGCATATCATTATCCACCAGAATCATTCTTCAGGCTTCTAACGGGCATTTGGCAGGGCTTATTGATGCAATATATTTTCCTTTTTCTTTTTTATTATTATTGTTGTTATTTGGGGATTAAATTTCCAGGTTGTCCCTTCTGACAAGTGTTTCGATTACTGGAGCAGTGAGCGCTCATGTGGGATGTCATGTTCACTGGTCCTTCGTGCACAGAGAAACACGGGACAGCCAGAATTTCTCTCACCCCTCAAGGAGGTCTTTGTCAAATGAGCGGGCAAATCCCCGGGTGGTTTCGGCACGGCTGCTCTGCCAGTGCCACCGCCACGGGGACATCTGTCAAACAGCACAAAGGTCCAGGGGACAGAGCAACGGGCCCCTCCGGCTCCCCTTGGCCACGAGCACGTCACCTTGCTCTGCTCTGCTAAAAAAGGGGGGTTGCCAGCAGAGAGCCAGCCCCACGCTCTTGAAAAGCTCCCGGAGCTCTGGAGGTGACGCACTCCTGCCGTTTGCTGAACAGACCATCGCTGCCGGGGCAAAAGGCTGATGGCAGCATCCTAACTAGGATCTCACCTGTTTGGGGGATTATCCACCAGGACTTAGCCCAGACTGCTGCCTTGCTCCTGGGACGACTGCTCCCCAAAGTAGTTCCCTCACACCAGGAACTTGTTCCTCCACGTTAAAGAAGCTGCAAACCTCATACGCCGACCCCCCAAGCTGCAGCCTGGGCCCTGCAGCCCCCTTCGTCTGGGGCCGGCCCTGTCCTTAGCTGGATCTCACCGGCGAGGTCTGAGAAAGTGGGATCTAGGGCTGCAGGAGGAGAGCACGATCCTGGAGCTGAGCTTAGGGAGCAATGGGAAACGGGAGGAAGAGGAAGGCAAACGCCTTGCACGCTGTCCCCTGAGATGGTTCCCAAAGCACTAACCAGTTTTCTGCCCATGGTCAGGCTGACCAGGGGTTCATGCAGAGCTCACCACAGTCGCTGCGGGAGTTCCCAACTGAGCCAAGCCAAAAGACCTCTCTGGGGCAGACCCACAGCGAGCGATCTTGCTCCCACAAAGGTTTTTGCCTCTGCAGCTGAGTTAGCCAGCTACAGCAAAGGGGAAGCAGAGAGAGAGTTTTACCAACCATACTGGCAGATTTCGACTTAATGAAAAGAAATTTTGAGAAGCTATTTATTCCCTGGCAATGCAGATCGAGTTACAGGAATAAACACAGATCAATTAATTTAGAAACAGCATCTAGCATTCATTATAAATCATGCCAGAAATCCTTCATATCTTGCAAAGGATGCTGTCTGTCTCTGAACAAATGCCGGGTTTAATGTGCAGTTTGGAGTACGAGTGTGAGAGTGTGTGTACATATATATTCACTTGTACAGAAATGTTAAATCCTCAAGAGTAAGTATCTTCAGTTGGTGAAAATCAATTTATTTTTCATACAGGCTGGAATTGAAAATCTTAAGCCTGAAAGTTACTTTCTTGTCCATTTCACTGATAAAAAAGCATGTATGTCTTGGCAAGATGCCTTGTAGTGGCTCCTCTAAACTATTCCATTAATTTATTTGGGTGACTGGTCTTGAAGCATTGGTTATTAAAGGTAGCTTCTGAGCTGTGACTCTAAAGAATTAATTTAGAGGCGTTCTCAGTGTCATTGCAATTGCGGCATTCAGAGGGGCTGGTACTCAGCTTTTCACACGTGCATCTCATTTAGCACTAACGCAGGGTTTTATTAAGATGCAAAGGACAGCAGACCAGATTCTGACGTTACTGATCCTGACCAAAACGAGGAGAAGCTCCACTCACATGAATTGGTGGGAGAGGTGTAAGCAGGAGAGAGACACGATGCCCCTGGTGTGATCCATGGTGGCGCTGATCAGCAGCATTAAGCTACCGCCTTCCCTTATTAGCAATCATCTCCATCATTCCTGACATTCCAGAGCTCCCAACTCTGGAACTTCTCTGCCAGGAAGAAGCCAGTGTCAGGCCATTTATCTTAATGCTTCAGAGCAACCGAGCAGTTCCTCTTCCTCTACCTATGGCTGCAAAGCAAAGTTGTCATTGAGGGGGACCTGGGGACCCTACAGGGGATGTGGGGGCACAGGAGGGTCTCTCTGCCTGGCACCAACTCAGATTTTTTTTTTACGCAGCTCGTAAGAGTAGATGATTATCCCACAGAGAAGAAATTTGTGCCTAACCACAGCACAGCAAATCCGTTCAAACCAGTAACTAACCCCAGTAAGGATTTTTTTACGGTAAACTACTGAAGCTATAAAATCAGAGGTCCCACAAAATAAAATGTAAATGCACACACACACAAAAAAAAAAAAAAAAAAGGCCAGCAAAGTAAACACAATTCGTGTGCATTCTTTAATGTCTATTAAATTACTACTAAGATGTTTCTGCTTATTCGTATGGTATTTTCCCAGGTGACATCGTCCAAATTCCAATGAATAAGCGACCACCTTTGCAACATGGCTGAAGTATTCCGAGAGGAGGAAGGGGAGGAAGGAACAGCTTTTCCCCTAATAGGGGAGAATGTGTAGCGGTTGGATTAGGTGTGAGCTGGAGCGCCGTACGCTCCTCACCACAGTTACTCCTGCAATTTTTGATTGATGACTACTCTCACAATGACTGACAATTGCTTCTAAACCGGACTTTTAACAAATAGCCCAGTCTGCCAAACTGCTAGCGCTGTGCCCAGATTCAGAGCCGGTGAATTTTCACTTGGAAAAGGAGCGTTCTTATCTCGTGTTAGCCGAGTTAAAGAAGCTAATGGGAAACAAACTCCCAGCGAGGAGGTGGCGGGGTTTAGGGAAGCAGGGAGAGCCCGCTTGCCTCGACGAGGGGTTTGCCGAGCCGGCCTGCCTGCAGCAGCCGGCCCAGCCTCCTCCCTGGGGACGGCAAGGCCACTGCGGCCAGCGACGTTTTGCTGGGAGGACACAGCCCTTCTCTGCCGCAAGGACCCCCCCGCGCAGCCCGGGGCGAGCTCCGGCCGGAGGGGGCGAGCGCCGGGCGAGCTCCGGCCGGAGGGTGCTCGCCCACCCCGGGCGCTCCCCTCCAAGCAGCACGGACACGGAGCTGAGAAAGCCGGGCTCCTCCTGGCAGTTCAAAACACAATTAAGTCCTTTCAGCTGGTCAGAAGCAGTGATTTAAGAAGAGAAAAGTGTTTTTTCTCTTCCAGGGAGCCCTGTCTCATGTAATTTAAGTTGCCTGAAGAGCTACAATGCCTCATGCAAGTCCTATTAGCTTCACTAAATGCAGCCTATTGATTTTTTGCCAGTTTATTTTGCTCTATGCTTTAAACTGGGAGAACACTGATGTTGTTTAAGAGCTCTGTGTCAACACCCAAGGAACATTAAATGCAGGAAGAGAAGGAGAGGAAGGGAGAGCCAGTGAACCCAGCAGAGGCCTCTGATGCGAACTATATAAATGTTAAACAAGTCCTTATCAGCAAGCCAAGTATGCTATTCATTTCAATTACCCATTGTAATTCACAGATATTTAATAATCCTTTTGCAGGCTACATTTCTTGCTGCTCTTTGAGGTTTGATAGATGCCACAAATCTACCTTACAGGCACTGGTCCAGCTTTTCAAGTGAGGGAGATTATCCAGCCTCTTGAATGAAGTTTGCTCGGGCACATCCACTACTGCACGTTCATCAAGTGGATTATAACAGGCATGAGCTTTAACTGAGAAGAAATGAGTCCACAGATATTTCAGTCAGGAGAAGGAGCCCACGGGGTTAAAGACAGATGAACAGCCTTTGTCACTGTGCTACACTAACCAACTTTGGGGTGTTAAACTTCTGTTTGATTTTCATTAAACATGCTGAAAAAAAAATGGAGGCGGACAGGCAAAGCATTTGAAACATAAAACATTATGAGAGACTTTTTTTCTTAGCTAATCTACCCTTATTTATAGTGTTTTTATCAGAAGAATGTGTGCTGGCAGATTTTGGGTGATACTGAAAAAATGAGGGGGAGATGCGATAGCAGCAGTTGGGATGGGCTGGGGCTCCATCTCCTGCTTTCTTATGGAAGGACAGAGACCTGAACCAGAGATAAACGACAGCTAAGCCAGAAAGCGCAGCTTCTGCCGCAGCGACGCCTCACGCAGCTGCAGGTGAGCAGTTACCCTCCTTCCAGGCAAAGCACAGAGACTTATCAGCCCCTCCAACTTATCAGCCAGCTTCAGGCTCTTGCTAAGTAGTGTCGTGCAGGAGCAGGCTTTGGCTGACTAAGCTGCCTCTTATAAAATAAGAAGGCAAAAAGAGATCTAGGAAAAACAAGAAATTAGGCAGAAAAGAAGAACGGCACCTAAAGGAGCAGGCAGCAGCATGAACACAAGCCTCAATATGCAAGTGCTTTTCCAGAGCTCAGCTGGACGCATGGAGCTGGTTTGGGGAGAGCGACACTCACCCACGGGAGCCCGGTGAGCGGCGGAAGGGGGGCTTCAGGAGAAAGCTGATGTGCCTCTCCTGGGGAGCCTTTCAGGACTAAAGCCAGTTACGCCTTTTGTGACCACTTACATAGGGACAATTCAGGAGGTGGTCATAGATAAATGGCATATTTCAAATGTTATGGAAGGACATAAAATAACCGTATTTCTCCTTACCCAACACATTTTCTAGAAGAAAAAAACATTCACATGAATAGTAAGCTGGAAAACATATTCCTCCTTTTTTAACAGAATGCCTGCTGATAGCAAAAGAATACCCACTTTTATTTTTATCCATAAGGCAATTGTCTTGAATATTTCTATGCCTCTGTTTATGTGAATACGTTAAATTTATTTGGCAGTTGCACGTATCTCAGAGGAGACACGTTTCCTTGTGATGTTCGAGGAGAGACAAAAATACAGAGTGTGTGCAAAAGAGAAAAACATGCCATCTGAAACGTTCCCTGTCTTCTCTCTTTGTGCAGAAACATTACAGGATAAACAAAATTCTGGTTAGGAAACTAATACATTTAAACAGATATGCTGATAGCCTGTCACACTAGCAAGCTCTGCAGGGCATCAGGGTCTCGCTGCACCTCACTGAGGTCAACGAACAGTTGGGTTCCACCTGCAGGGCGAGGTCTCTGGAGCGGTGCCGTGTTTTGTGAAGTGTGCTGGAGCCCCTGTCTCTTGTTACAGCAACGTGAAGCCAAACGGTGTCGAGTAGGGAAAGTAGAGATACGTAAGACAAGGTCAAACTGGTAATAGTCCCACTGTGTGATCTGTTCTCAAACTGGTAGTATTATTATTTTTTTACTTAAAAGATACCAGGTTTTAGCAAATAGAAGATTAATTCTTATTTTGGGGGCGGGGGGGTATATTTTTTCCAGAAATCCAAAATTTCCACATTTGAAAAAATGTGGGCTTTCATGAGCAGCAAACCCACAGCGCTTGTTAAAAACAACGAGGAAGGGATCCAGCGAACCCTCACAGCCGATTACGCCCTGCTGATGGAGTCGACCACCATCGAATACATCACCCAGAGGAACTGCAACCTGACGCAGATCGGGGGGCTCATCGATTCCAAAGGCTACGGGATCGGGACCCCCATGGGTAAGTGACAGCAGTGGGGTTTCTGCAGGTACCCTGGAGAGGGGCTAGTTACCACAAATACAACAGATGGGATTAAGATAATCCACTCCCAACAGCAAGTTTCCAAATACCAAAGCTTGTGCTGTCTGTCTGTTGAAGAGAGGTCTGAACAGCCCTGCTTAACGCAGACACAGCCCCTGCTTTGTGCGATTTTTGTCCTATTTTCCCTCTGTGTGTAATGGTGTTCCCCCTCCCCAGGGTCGCCCTACAGGGACAAGATCACCATCGCCATCCTCCAGCTCCAGGAGGAGGACAAGCTCCACGTAATGAAGGAGAAGTGGTGGCGGGGGAACGGCTGCCCTGAGGATGAGAACAAGGAGGCCAGCGCTCTGGGCATCCAAAACATCGGCGGGATTTTCATCGTTTTGGCAGCAGGCTTGGTGCTGTCCGTCTTCGTGGCCATGGTGGAGTTCATCTACAAGCTGCGCAAAACGGCGGAGCGTGAGCAGGTACTGATTTCCTCCGTTTCCCTGCACCACCATTAGCCCAGCCGTTGAGGATTTTGCACGGTGACCCCAGAGACAGGCAGGGAGACGGGCAGAGGGACTCAGCCCTGCCTCTGCTGCCTGGAGGTCCAAGAGCCTGCAGCCCAAGGGCTGAAATGCAGCACCCCCAAAATGCCGTCCCCTAAGGCTCATTGCTCTGTCCCGCTCCATCAGCCTCAGGCCAGGGGGCAAATCATGTCTACTCTGATCAGAGTCATCTGCTGCTGCACTAACTAGACTAGTGAACATTTGTAGGGTAAATTTGAGCAAGCCAACACGTAAGTCATGAAAATACGGACAGAGGTCCCTGGGAGGGACCCTTCTGAGCTCTTATATCCACTCGCCACTATCACATGCAAAATCACGTTGCATATTCCATGCGTAAGGTGTACACGCATGAAGTCTCCACCTCTTCTCCCCACTCCCTTTCAAAGAGCCTCAAGGAACCGGTCAGGGTCCACCAGGAAGCCTCCTATTACCTTACCAACTTTTCACAACACTTACACAACCAGCCCATCCCACCCGCAGTGGCTGATTAGTGCTCACGAAACAAGAGGACGGCTTTTATGATTTTCCCTCTTCCTTGTGTCATGGTACAGCAAATGGAAAGTGCATTTGTGTGCATGACCAGAAATCAAAGCAAGCTGCCCACGTGACGGACTAGATAGATGAAGGAAAACTGCCCACTAGCAAGCCCAGCAGGATTCGATAGCCCTCTGACTCCCAGCACATAAATCTACCAGATCCCCAGCAGGGATCACACAAAGCACCGGCACTCCAACAGCCGCCTGTAGCTCTGCCTTTTTGCAGGATTTAGTGCGTCAAAGGTACAATTCTTGCCAAAGGAGAGAGGGGTCAACCAGACGCCCATGCATCTCTGAAGTCCCACTAAGCACAGCTGATGCCTTAAATGCAACCTAGACCCGGTGCCTGCCCTCTGCAGAGCCTAGTTTCGGCACCCTGCTGCTCACGGAGCGGTTAGCAGAACACTTTGCCAGGAGTAACGGTGCTTTTTGTCCCTGCTCTCCCCAGCGCTCCTTCTGCAGCGCCATGGCCGATGAGATCCGGCTGTCGCTCACCTGCCAGCGACGGGTCAAACACAAGCCCCAGCCACCCGTCATGGTGAAGACAGACGCCGTGATCAACATGCACACGTTCAACGACCGACGGCTGCCGGGGAAGGACAGCATGACCTGCAACACTGGACTGGCACCTGTGTTTCCCTAGGGAACGGGAACGGGGGGGTGGGAGGGAAGGAACTGCGTCAGACAAGGCTGGATGCACTCTTAACTAGGGAAGAAAGGATTAAAAAAAAAAAAAAACAAGAAAAAAACAGAAAAAAAAAAAAAAGCCTGGTTTGGTTCATTTCAAGAACAAGGCCTTTGCACCACAACTGCATCGATTACTGGCATAGAAGCAAGAACTTCAAAGCAAGGACTGTAACATGGGTCTTGGGGCTTTTCTGTTTGTTTTTTGTTACTTTTCATTCCTTTTTTTTTTTTTTTTTTTTTTTTTTTTTTAGCTTAGATCCTACAGGCCTCATGGAGTTCAAACATGCTACCATCCAGGAGTCCGATGTTTACATACTGAAACACATGGAGGCAAAACAGAATTGAGCCAAACTGACCCTCGGTGGGTAGGGAGGAGCCCCCGAGCAAGGCTTCTTTAGCATGGCAATAAAAAGAAACACTTTGTGAGGTGCAGCATGAGCAGCCGTCTGTGCGGGCATCTATTCCACACTGACATACACAGCACATTCAGGACACGTTGTCCAGGAACGGGAGAGGTATCTGTGAAGCACCGTGATGGTCAAGGCTGTGCCTTCCCTCAGAGCAGCTCATGGCAGCCCGTCACCCCCCGGCTGTGCTGGCCGTCGCCACCCCCCAGCTGGAACTCCACGTGGGGTGTGGGGGGAGAAGGCAACACACGTTCCCTCCGTAGATCCAAGACTGCAAAGGGGCGAGTAAGCCTGAACGGAGCCAAACTCCTGGCCAGGGACGGGCCAGCGTGGTGAGCACGGGAGCCACGGCCACCTCCGAGCAACACCAGCCACACGCCCCGTGCCAAACTCCAGCCCACGCCCAGCGCCACACCGGGATCTCCGGGTCCTCAGCTCCTTCCCGCAAAGCCCAGCCTCTCCGGCCAAGCCGCGCAGAAAGCAGCCGAGCCCGCAGGCTCCGGCAGCGGCAGGGGCAGAGCTGTTCCCAGGAGCCGAGCGGTACCAACTCCCCTGAAAGCAGCAGCGCTGAGCTGCGGCTCTGCCGCCTTCGCGCTCAGACCAGGGCGGGACTCTACGTCTGGTTGGGGACTAAACGCTCTCCACGGCATCAGGGACCTGAGAGGCAAAGTCTCAGGCTGCAGGGCCAGGGCTGGCCTGGGGCGAGCAGCACCGTGTGAGCCAAACCTGACAGCCCTCTTGCTCTGCCCGGTGAAGCGCAGCCCCTCAGCCAGCATCTCCACGCGATTTAAGCAAACACACACTAAAACGTTTTTAAGAAATCTTCCACGAACTGTGTTCTTATTTTCAGGTCGCTTAACCCAGAAGGCTGGTCCTGCAGATGAATTCAGTCAGAATTACCAAAGACCCCTCTGCTGACCTAAAGTAACGTTCGAGTAATGTCACTCAGCTCCACCCCGCCGTGGGGAGCCGCACGGGCGGCCAGTGGGACGCTCTGTGGATTAATGTGCAAAATGAAACAAACAGAAATGGCTCTGCCCACTGTAACCCAGAACATCAGAGTGTCGCAAAGGTGCTTAAAAGCTCTGATTTTAACACCGGTGTTGGAGAAAAGAGCAACCTCCTGCCCTTGCAGCCGTCAGGGTGACAGTGACCTGGCGCAACCGCGCAGCTGCTGGAAACCCCTCCTGCACCCACCCGTAAACCCGGGTTTGGGGGGCCGGAGCTCCGCACCCCGAAACTTCCCCCTCCGGGTGGCGAGCGCAGCGAGGTGCCGCGGCCACCGCGGGAACCAGCGGCTGAACTGACCCAGTTTGCCCTCCCCTACCTGCAAGGCCTTTCTGGGAAGTTTATCCTCGCCCAAAGGAACAAACCTGTTTGTAACTGATGTCAGATTTTTTTTTTCCCCACCTGTTTAGTTCCGAGGCTCAGTTAGGAAGGTTATCTTTGGAGCTGAGCACAATTAGCAAATTAGCTCAAGGGGAAATAGCTCTTCCCCTCCTGCCCCATCACAGAACATAATTTGTCCTTATTTTGTTCTCTACATGATGTAAAGAAGCAACAGAGTGACCCGGAAAAAAAAAAAAAAAAGGCAATTTGTCATATTTTGACTCAAGTAAAGATATGCAAAGAATTTACATTAATTTTCACCTTTTCACAGAAACCATGAAAAATTGGGAGTGAAAGCTGCCAATTCAATGGGCATCATATTGTTAATAGTTTGCTGACCAAAAGCCTACAGCAGAGGATAGACTGGAAGTATGGGTCTGCTTCCCAAAGCTAATGACTTTCTTTCTGTATTTCTTTGCAAATCCTTAGGCTTGTCAGAGTAGAAGGATTTATGTTTTCTTTGCAGATCTCTAAGCTCTTAGAGATTTTTACAATTAAGCCAGACATAAAAACAAACCCTGAAACTGGCTTTAAACGTCCAGACAGTAAAATACCACAGAAAATAGCACTCATTTTGCTTCTTGGCAGATTTTTTTAAAATAAATAAATATTAGGAATACCATAAACCCCATCTATTCATCTCTGACACCAGTTTGATTTGATTTTACTCACAGATGTCCCTGAGTGACAGGTGAGCATCTGGAATTACCAGTGCTATTTGCCAACAAGACCAAACCCTGCCGATTAACCTTTCCCCGACCCTCCCTGCGCTGACCGTAACTCAGCCATGAAACAGCAGCCAACTCCCTGCATCTACACTATGGGTTCACGTTTAAATCCTGACCGCTAAAACGTTTGATATCGAACAACAAGGAAACGTTCTGCCCTGCTCAAAAGAACAGAGGAGCAGGGGGAGCAGGCTGGGAGCCCAGCGCTCCCCCTTCCCCGCCGGGGTGAGCCGGCTCCAGGGCTCGGGCTGCGCTGCAAAGCGGGGGCAGCCGCCCCGGGACCCGGGTAAATGCAGCCCGGTGCTACGGGCTCGGCAGGGACCGGCGCCTCTCCCGCGGCTCCCACGGCTCCCACGGGGTGTTTGATCCCCGCGGCGGAGGACGAGCCTGACGCCGAGCCGGGAGACTTCGGCAGGGGCAGGTCTGAGGGCAAAGCCTCGACGCCTTCTGCGAGCTGCGCTGGGACCTGTTTGTGACTACTGACGACTCACGTCTTAGGAATCATCTGACTTCCAACTTCGCTTAAGTCAGTTCCTTTCTTCACTTGGTGGGCAGAGGGACTGAAAAAGTGAGGAGGAAATAACGAAAAAACAGGTTTGGGCCATTAAACTGTATCTAAGTTGTTGTCACCTCAGTCCCTTTATCACTTGCTTTTTCCTTCCAGCTCTCCCATGACACAGAGCGGGGGCACAGCGGGGAGCTTTGCTCGGGGTTGCTTTTCTGTCTGGAGTTAACCGACAGCGCGTGTTGGGGACGACGTTGAGGGCACAGATCCACAAAAGAGACGGAACGTGCAAAGGGGAACCAGCTCCAGCTCTGGGCAGCCGCTGCTCCCGCTCGGTGGGTGCTGGGGGAGCAGGATTCGGCCGGGCGCCAGCCGCGGGTGGTCTCCGGGAAGGTCAGCGCAAAGGGACCCGCAGATCTGGCAGCTCCCGCCCGGGCAGCTGGGCCACGCGTGGCCAAAGCGTGGGGAGACCCCGCGCCCCCGCGCCCCCGGGTGCCACGGCGCGTCCCTGCGCGGGCGTCAGCGGGGCGCTCGGGGCTGGCCGAGCAGGAGCGCTCCCGGGCATCGGCGGCGCAGGCCCTCTGCTGTCTCTACCTTACTTTGACATGTTTCTCAAAAAAAGACAAAAAAAAAGGAAAAAAAAAAACAAAAACAAAAAACAAAAAAAACACAGAAAAGAGTGGGAAAAAAAAGGAAAAAACTGGTCTCCGTGACATTCAGGGGATTTTCCTTTGTGGACATGCAGAATTTCTATGAATATAGTTTTTTGTAAACATTTTGTAACAATTTTGGTTTCATAGTAACTGTGTTACTTGCTGATCATTCTAGGCTGATGTAAATAAAATTTCCAAAAAAAAAAAAAAAAGAAAAAATTCTGATTATTTTCCTTTTTAAGACACTGTGATATATCAAAGTGCACAGTTTGCTGTATGAAGTAATATGGTTTTAAATTTTAAATAAAAAATAATTTCTAGAAAATAATGGAGTTTATGCCTGTTTACACTGAACAACTCCCTTCTTCCTTGTTGAAATTTTAGACCTAGACCCAAGCTGTTTAATGGCATCCCCTGTCTCTCCTGATAATCAGCCATAAAAAGCCAGTGATAAAAAAACCAATTCACAACTAAACTCAACCATCTCAGAAGAGCTGCTAGTGCTGCTTGCCAGAGGGGCTGTGTGCACGTTTAGGAGCGGGACGATGGGCTTCACCGCAGCCCCCGGAGAGGGAGGGAAGATCCCCACGTGCTTCTCCCTCGGTCAGAGGTGGGTAAGACAGACGAGGAGGCTCAGGCAGCGCAACTCTCCCTGCGCTTGTACGGCGAGTTTGGCATCGGGCAGTTCCGTGCGGGCACCCCGCGGGGAGCAGACCCGCTCTCCCACCGCGGTTCGCCCGAAGGCTGCCCGTGCTTCTCCTTACGGAACGCTGCTTGAACCCGAGCCCCTCCGACAAGCCCGCGGGTCCCCAGAGGGCTCCAAGGCTCATAAAAGCTCTGTTTACCTGCTCTCCCTTTCGACGCAAGTCAAAAATCTTATTAGCCTGATAAAAGCTGAAAGCACCCTAAAGGCCAATGTTTATTAGTCTGAAATCTTTATGACTCTGCTTTATTATACTGAGGCAGGGAGAAAACATCTGTGGTTCCCGAAACAGGAACGATGAGAGCAATGGGCGCCGTGCCCTCCCAGGCCACCCTAAAACAGACTCTAAAAGCAGAGGCCCAGCGCCGGGCTCCCGCAGCACGGCGCGCCTTGCTCCCCAAAGCCCTCCTCGCCTTCTCTGCGAGAGACGGGCACTGCCCTGGAAACGTGCTCGGGGTAGAAGGGTGGCATTTTAGACACCGTGGCTGTGCGTTTTCTAAATAATCCCCAGAAGTTGCCATTTCCTGTACACTGAGACTTAAAAGACAGTTCCTTCCCATTTGAATTAATTTTAAGGGTCACCCTCATAAATCTTTCTCATCTCTATTCACTCAGGCCCCCTGGAAAACCACGGCTTTGACTGCCAAGGAGGGACTTTCAGAGCAGAGCCAAGTCTCACTTTTATATTCTGAACCCTGATCAATATGCAGAGAACACGGCGAAAAGAAGAAGGGGAAAAAAGGCAAAAGCAACTGATGCCTTTACAAAGCTTCTTCTACATTGCTTATCGTGTGAGACCTGCTTCTGGGAATGAAATCCCTTCCCACGTGCCAAGGGCTGCAGCGAGGGAACGGCTGCTCCCGCCTGCCGAGGGAGGCCGGGGGCAGCACCGGCTGACCCTGCGCGGCAAACCTCCGTCTGCGCCAGGAATATGAGGAATTGTCAACATAAATCATTATCACCAAAAACGCGAGGCAGCAATTAACCTTGTCAGTCAACAGATCACCTTTTACTGACTGTGAACCCACCACCTCAAAGCTGCCAATCATGCTACAAATGAATAATTAATCAGACAACAGATTTCACTCATAAAAAAGGAGATTGGTTCCCTTTGAGCACCAATTAGTCCCTCCGGGCAAAAGAGGGAGAAAATTGGGAAATGGTGAGAGAGGCACCTCTGCCCAGCCTCCCACCTCCCTGCTCCATCCAGGCACCTTTAGACATTTTATTTTCAGCTCAGCAGAGAGAACACTTTTTAACCTGTATCTCTTTCAGCAAAATCCCATTCTGAAGCGGTAATTGTACATCTGCAAGCAAGCGTTGCCCTGCCCCTGGACGTCAGAGCCCGGTGCCTGCTCGCGGGGAAGGACAGCCGACAGCCCACGCCTCCTCCCTCGCACTCCTGCTCCCTGCCCAGCGCAGTGGACACCAACTCCTTCTCCTCCCTCCAACCAAACCAAATCGTTGTCACTCAGGAGGGACTCGGGCAAGTTTGGACCGAAATGCCTTCATCAGGAAAATACACCTTATTTCCTTAATGAAAATTTGGGGATGAAACAGAGAGAATGAGGGCAGCAAGAAATCCAACTTCTCCTCTAATACACTACAGAGTAGGTTTAACAGACCGCGAGATGGTCATTCCGTGTCAGAAGAATTGGGTATGCATCGCTAACATACAGGCCCATAACCACCATGGAAACAGGGAGCTGTAACTACATATAATAAAATAACTTTCCACTTGAAAAAGCCCTTGCCTTTCGGGCATCGAGAACCTTTCAGGATCTCGATGCGGTTTTCAGAAGCGGCTTCGTCGTCGCCCCGAGCGAGCTTGCTGAGCGTGCCGGGGGCGAGCACGGCTCACCCCCCCTCCACCCCTCGCTCCACAGATGAGGAACCGGAGGGACTTGCACCACAGGGGACGTCAGTGGGGAGCGACGGAGCCCCCTCCGCTACCCCCCCCTTCCAGCAGGAACGGGGCCAGAACGGGGCCGGCCGGGCCCTGCGGAACCAGAGGGTAACGGCAACAAGAGGTGCAACCCAGCAGAGAAGCGAGCTCGCCAGCTCACAGCAAAGCAGCCGGCACAAAAAGAAACCTACCCCGGGCCTTTGATGTACACCAGCCTGAACCCAAACTCGCTTGTGACATTTGAGAGAATGTGGTGACATTTTCCTTCAAGAACTTCTGTGTCTGATACTTTCACCGGGAACTGAGATACCAAACAAGCCGTGGGGCCACTGTATGTTAACATTCTGCATTTAACTAGAAGAATCTGGGATTCTGGCTCAGAAACTTGTGCATCTCGCAGGAGCTCAGGCAAACAGAGGAAACGAAACAAAGCAGAAGAGACCAGACAACTGAAAGACACGTCCTGCCCCGGAGGGGCAAGGAAGGGGAGGAGAGCAGGAGGGTGGGCTGAGGGTCATGTCAGCCCCAGGGCAGCCGCCCCGGCCAGCACCCGGCTGGGCCGGGTGACAGGGACAGGCTCCACACCTGCGCTCACCCCCCACCACGAGCTGCTCTTCTGCCGGGTGTTTACACCATCAGCAGCTACGGACACGTGGCTTCGGCTTTCCTCCTCTTTTCCAGACATTAAAAAAAAAAAAATTAAGAAGTACAACGCCCTGGCCCAACCTAAGAACAACTTTCCTAACGCAGCCCCTGCGGTGCCTGCGGACTCGCGGGCACAGGGGGACGGGGCAGCACACACAGGTGCTCTTCCCAACAGGAGAGAGCACCGAGGCTGGGTCAGGACCGGGGCAGAATCAGGCCCCGCTGCCAGACCGAGCGAGCAGCAGCAGCTCAGCTGGAGGCGTTAGTGCACGGGGATGTTTTCAGAGCTGAAAGTGCTGAGCAATTTGCTGGGGCAGACAGGGTGCTGACACCTTTTATTTTAAGTAGTATCAATGGTGCTATTTAGTACACTCTGAACACCGACTGAAAGCATGATCTTAGTAAACAAGAACTCTTTTGGCAGCACTGAAGTAACATATGGGCTCTGTATATAATGTGCCTTGAAATGGTTTTCGTAGATTAGCAAAGTAACTGTGATGCAGCTAATACTTCACAACCCCAAAGAGACTCTGCATTGGCTGAAAGCAGGACCGGGTCTGGAGTGGCTTCTGTTTGTGGGCACTAAAGGGCAGCAGGCGGAACCAGAGCCCCATTGCCTGCAGAAGGGAAAGGGGCATCGTTACAGGAAGAAAGGGAGCACATGACAGAGTACAGGGTTAGATAAATCCCTGCAAAAAAGGCTGGAAGTGTGCTGCAGAAAGATTTCAGGCACAGACCATCCCATCCTTTTAGGGCTTTTTACCCTTCAGCACTAGTTAGCTTATTTTCATCCTCCCCTGCTGCCCAGAATTTCTTTCCATTTTCTACGTTCATGCTGTTTACTCACATTATGTCTTTTTCTCCATTAATGTGTTTATCTTTCTCCCTGTGCTTTGTTGGATGCACCATTCACTGCTTCTTTATAGCGAAGTGTCTGCTACACTTTGACAGCAAATTTTGCTCAGGGAAGTTTAGGCTGCTGCTAGCACTGTTGTTATTGGGGGTATCATTAACCGCAGAGATTTGCACCATTTTTGCAGAGCCGGCGGCAGCCCCCCGCGCTGCTCGGTGCCGGGGGGGGGGGGCTGTGGGTGCCGAGGGGACCCACGGTTCGCTCTCCTGCAGCGGGGGCGCAGGCTGGGCAGCAGGAGCAGGGTGCTCACCCCTCTGGGACTGCAGCGAGCGGCAAACCCCGGGGAGAGCCCGCAGCCACCTCCAGAAATCCAAACGGAACAAGAACCCAGAGGCCCCAGCACCCCGCTGCCAGCGGCACACGGACCTGCCCGGGCTGCTGTCCCGCCTGCTCAGAGCTGGAACAAACGCTGTCCCCCCCGCCTGTGATGGCCAGGCCAGTGTCTGGGACCCCCCGCCTGCAGCCCCCGCCATCCCACCCCCGCGGGGGTCACCTGCCTGTGCTCTCTCGGGACCCGAAACAGGCGTTCCCTGAGCCAGAAAAGCATTTGAGCAAAGGAGAAAAGTTTTGGTTTGGAGGACACTTCAAGTTGGCGGAAGGGAATGAGTTTTATTCCAAGTATTTCAGCAGTATTGCTTTCCCTTTTTGTGGCCTAGGTAAAACTGCTCTGAGAGACATAATTAAAGTGTTTAAGAAGCATCTGTCATTATTAAAACAAAGTTGCTTTGCAATTTTACTATTTTGCTGCAGTTTCATTATCTTATGCAAATGAGCTGCCTATTCCCTTCTGCAGCGTGGGCTGCAGAGGGATAGAAGACCCAGTGAGAAAATTTATTACCAGCCTCTCATTCT